GGTGTTCATGGGCCTCACACCCTCAGGCCTCCCCTCCCCCCTGGCCTGGCCCCTGACCCTCCTGCCACCCTGCCCATGCCCCTCCAGGCCACTTCACTCCAAGGCTGAGCAGCACCTCATGTGCGAGGAGCATGAAGAGGAGAAGATCAATATCTACTGCCTGAGCTGTGAAGTGCCCACTTGCTCTCTCTGCAAGGTCTTTGGTGCCCACAAGGACTGTGAAGTGGCCCCACTGCCCACCATTTACAAACGCCAGAAGGTATGAGCAGTGGAGGGAGCAGGCATGTGGGGCTGGGGGCATAAGACCGGGTCTCTAACTTCGGCCTCTTACTCCACTTGGCTTTAAAAGCTAGCAGATTAGGGCTAAAGTCCCAGCCCTGTGAGTGACCTTGGGTAAGTCACTTGACTTCTCTGGCCCTCACTTTCCTCACTTGTAAACTGGGGATAAAAATGTCTTTTTCTGGGAGTAATTTCAGGATAAAATAAGATAATGGATGCAAGCAGAGACTTCAGTATGGTGAACTAGATACTCTCAAGCCCTCTTACCATCACACAACTAGATTCTACATAAAATATAATTTAAAATTATATTGGTAGGCACAAAAGAAGCAAAGGAAATTTCCAAGTGGGGGTGGGGCGGGAGAGAGGGAGATGGAGTGAACCGAGAACAGAACCCTGAGTAGAGAAAAGGCAGGATTTCTGGGGCGCAAATGCTGGCAGTATTACTAAACTAGAAAGACTGTGCCTCCAAACCCCTAAAAGGTGGGGGACCTGCAATGAAGACCCCCAAGAATCCGAGGTTAAATTGGAATCCCAGGAACTGAAGTGGTCAGCTGTGTCACCTGGCTTTTGGCAAAAGCAAATGCAAACTCTGTCTGGAGAAAACACCCTCAGTTTAAACTCTTGGGCTTTACTTCGATTAAAAACAAAGATTAGCTCACAAATGCAGGTGTACAAAGAAATGCACTCCATTACTGAAGTCAGCAGAAACAAAAATTATAGATTTAGAACTCCAAGAAATTCAGATATTAGAATGATTAAAGATGCCTAGCAGGTGTGGCTCAGTGGTTGAGCATTGACCCACGCACCAAGAGGTTGTGGGTTTGATTCCCTGTCAGGGCACATGCCCAGGTTGTGGGCCCAATCTCCAGTGGGGGGGCATGCAGGAGGTGGCCAATCAGTGTTCTCTCTCATTGATGTTTCTATCTCTCTCTCCCTTCCTCTCTATCTAAAAAAAAAAAAAGAATAGAAAGTCACTGTGTATAAAATGCTCTAAAAAAGATAGAATTGAAAAAACAGCAATACTAGACTAGCAAAAATGCAGATTTGAGCCCTGGCTGGTTTGGCTCAGCGGTTAGAGTGACGGCCTGCGGTCCAGAGAGATTGGGTTCGGTTCCCGCTAAGGGCACATACCTCAGTTGCAGTTTGTCCCCAGCCCTGGTTGGGTCGTGCGGGAGGCAGCCACTCTATGTGTCCCTTTCACGTCAATGGGTCTCTTTCTCTCTCTCTTTCTCTCTCTCCCTCACACTCTATCTGAACAAAAAATGGAAAAATGTCCTTGGGTGAGGATAAAAAAAAAAAAATGCAGATTTGACAAAGACCCAAATAGAGATTTTGGAAATGAAAATACAATTGTTGAAATAAAACATTCAAATGATGAATTAAATGAGAGATTTCTCTGAAGAGAAATTAATAAACAGGAAGAACAGACTGAAAAAAAATAGCCTAGACTGCAGCACTGGGAGATGAGCAGGTTGAGATGAGAAGGTATAAGATATATCTAATCAGAGTCACACAGTGAGAGAATAAAGAGAATGAAGAAGAGCCAATGTTATCCTAACAACCATGAAGAATTTTTCAGAATTGATGGAAGACATGAATCTACAGATAAAGTATCTAGCCCAGTGCCTGGCACTTGGTGAATATTTGATGAATGTCTCATTTGGTGGTAAAGGACTTACTCTCTCAACCTTCCAGAATCCATAGAATGTGCTTCCACACTTCTTGAATGGTCTCATGCCCTCTAGATCTCTGGAATAGCTGCCCTGAAGATGCCCTGATGGTGAGGGGGAGGGGTAGTTATCTCCCAGGCAGCCCTGGCTGCAGTGGGAGGGTACAGTTCTAGACCAGGTCCTCCAGCCCTAAGTACTGGCCTGTGTGTGTGGCAGAGTGAGCTCAGTGATGGCATCGCGATGCTGGTGGCAGGCAATGACCGTGTGCAAGCCGTGATCACACAGATGGAGGAGGTGTGCCAGACCATTGAGGTAAGCCTGGGGTGGGAGGCGGGGAAAATTTCTGGGCTCCTAGAGGTGGATCACAAATAGTGAGATGAGCTTAGCCAGGCTGCTGGGTTTGAATCTCAGCTCTGCTTCTCACTAGCTCTGTGACTTTGGTCTAGTTACTTAACTTCTCTGTGCTTTGGTTTTGTTTGTTTTTACATAAAATAGTAATAATGGGAATGATGTGGCACTTACTTCATTGGATCTTTTTGAGAACTAAATGTGATGATTTCGTTCTAAATAAACAAGTAAAAACCAGGCCCAGAGACAGAGATAACACTCACGAGGCTACTTTTAAAGTATTGTGTTATTTGCTGAAAGTAGATCTTGAAAGTTCTCATCACATGAAAAAAAAAATGTTACTATGTATGGTGACAGATATTAACTAGACATATTGTGGTGATCATTTCACCTCATATACAAATATTGAATCATTACATAGTACACCCGAAATTTATATGATGCTATTTGTCAATTATATCTCAAAAAATATCATGTTATTATTTCGGAAAAGATCTGGGAACCTGCAGCCCTTGGCTGGCGCTCCGGCTCTGCCACAATTTGTGGTGTAACTCCAGGTCACTTTTCTTCTTGGCTCTCTGTGACTTGCACGAAGTGGGGAGTGGGACAAGGAGAAGGGTGATCTCTCAGCTATGAGGTCTCATCATCACTCCCCATCTGTCAGGACAACAGCCGGAGGCAGAAGCAGTTGCTGAACCAGAGGTTCGAGACCCTGTGTGCTGTGCTGGAGGAGCGGAAGGGTGAGCTGCTGCAGGCGCTGGCCCGGGCGCAGGAGGAGAAGCTGCAGCGCGTCAGGGGCCTCATTCGCCAGTACGGAGACCACTTGGAGGCTTCCTCTAAGCTCGTGGAGTCAGCCATCCAGTCCATGGAGGAGCCACAGATGGCGCTCTACCTGCAGGTGTGCCTGGGGGTGGACAGCAGGCTACATAGTGGCTAGAATGGGGGCTTGGCATATGGAGACTAATCTCTGCTACCTACTTGCCCCATGGCCTTGGGCAAGTCACCCGCTCTGAGTCCACTTTCTCCTTAAGAATTGGGATATGCCTCTCCCCAGCTGCCGACCCCTGAGGACTGTGGTGGGCAGCAGAAACGGGACATTGCTAGAGGTTGGCACAATGCTTACTTTCGCCCTTCTTTCTTCCCTACAGCAGGCCAAGGAGCTGATCAATAAGTGAGTAGGCGGGGCAGGGATGAAGGAAGGGGCTGTGGGGTTTCACTGCCGCAGGAAGGGGTGGGGGTGAGGGTGGGTGCGGGGGCATTTCCAGAGAGTCGCTGCGCTGCTGCAGGGTCGGGACAATGTCGAAGGTGGAGCTGGCAGGACGGCCAGAGCCAGGCTATGAAAGCATGGAGCAGTTCTCTGTGAGCGTGGAGCACGTGGCCGAAATGCTGAGGACCATCGACTTCCAGCCGGGTGAGAGAGCCAGGGAGGGGCGGCCCGGGACGGGGTGTCCTGACCCTCCAGAGGGGGCACCACCTCACGGGGTCTTCCTTCGGCCCAGGCGCTTCCGGGGAGGAAGACGATGAGGAAATAGCTTTGGACGGAGAAGACGGCCTCGCAGGGCCAGAGGAAGAGCGGCCAGAAGGTGAGGGTCGGAAGGGGCATAGCGGGGCGAGACTGCCCCCCTGCGGACTAGGGTTCGCTGGGAGCCCCTACTCCTTTTAAGTGCCTCCCAACCTCATAGGAGGGGAGCGCCCTTAGCGCCGGTGCAAAAGGACACTTTATTTCCTTTTTCTTCTCTTTTTAAATTTCTTTCTCCCCTCCCCCCCATCACCATTTATCCTCCCTATACTCTCTTCCATCACCATTTATCCTCCCTATACTCTCTTCCATCTCCATCCACCACCACCCCTTCCCCGGGACACTTTCTTTTCCACCAGCCATTCCTCTGGTGCTTTGGGAGACCAGAGTGGGTGGGGAAGTAGAGGAGACACCCACGTGGCCCGGGAAAAGGGCGAGCTGGGGTTTGGACTTGCTTTGTTCCTTCGGAGCTCCTGCTCACCGCACTTTCTTTCCTGGGGACAGGCCTGCACTGACCCTCCCCCTGTGGGGGACCCGGCTCCGGGGGCCTGGCGCTCTGGTCGTGGAGGATCTGCACAGAGACCGCCGCAACCCCCAGCTCGGCACCGCCGCGGGGAAAGCTCAATAAAGGGCTAACGCACCCCAACCCGCAGCTCCTCTCACTGCGCGCTCCCAGCCTGGCTCCGAGGCGCCCCATCACCGTTCCTCCCTTCTCCGGGTCTGGGACTGGTTGGAGGGTGGAAGTGAAATAAACCCCTATTGGGCATCTCCCTGACGTCAGGCACGGATTCCCGAGCCCAGTGCCAAGCACAAAGAGTACGGGGTGGTGTGGAGGGATTAGGACTGGAGTTCGTGGGGGATTTAGGGACGGTGGGGACACAGGACCCTGGCTGAAAGCCATTCTCTTAAATGCTCCTCTTGCAGCACTGGTCCCCTCCCGCCGGCCTGGGAGGCCTCACTTTCCTGTGGGTTCCCACCCTGCTGTGGACGGTTCCCCGCGCCCCGACAACAGAGGCCAAAGGCTCTTCAGCACTTTTATTAAAAACTAGGAATGCAGAGAGTGCTCAAGGTATCCCCGGGCCGCTCCTGCCCCGCGGGACTGGGTCAGTTCCGGTTGAGCGGGTGCCAGCCCCGGGGTGGGGGATGGGGGTCGAGGTTTTCGGAACCCCAGGCCCTGCAGGTCACTTGCCCACCGAGTCAAATATGATGCGGTTCTGCTCTGCGCGCTCCCGCTGGCTCTGCGTCCGCGCCAGCTCCAGCAGGGTCCGCAGAAGGTGGAAGGTGAGGTCAATGGACAGCGGAGGGTCGTCCCGTCGCGGCCGCTCGCCTGGGGTCCCAGATCCCCATCTGCCCGGCCCAGCGCGGCGGGGAAAGCGCTCGGCCAACAGCAAGAGGAGCGCGCGGGCTCCGCCGCCCTGGTTCCGAGCCCCGGGGCTCCAGCGCAGACTTGGGTCCTGGATGCTCGGGATGCTGGCGGCCGCCGCCTCTTCCTCCGGGCTCCACTGGCTGCTCCCCGGGTGCAGCTGAGCCAGGATCAGCAGCGCCACCAGCAGCGCAGCGCGTCCCGCTAGCCTCATGGTGCCACCGGCCCTGGACACACAGGAGCAGTGAGTGGTGAGGAGCGCTTGGAGCAGTCGCAGGTGGCACCACTCCCCTTCCCGCGCACATCGAGCGTCCCCGCCGGTCCCCTTCGGCTGCCGCCTGGTGCCCACAACCTTCCCTGCAGCCCCAGCCTCTGCCCAGTCATGTGCCACCCTTTCCTCTTTCCCTCCCTCCCTCCCTCTTAGCGGTCCCGGTAGGTGAGCTGAGTGCGGAGTCCTGGTGCTGAGGGAGTCCGGGTGGATGCTCCGGGAGCCACTCACAGATTGCGGGAAGGGCGTCTGCACAGTGCAGGACGGAGCTCCAGTCTGTCCCTCAGGGCGGGCTGAGGGTGCCTTGGGAAACACGGGGTCTGTCCCGGGACCGCCGCAAGCCTTATATAGCTCTAGGACAGCTCCCACTGACGTCAGCGAGAAACATGCACTAATTGTAGAGCAATGACGGTCGCAGCTTCAAGTCCAACGGGTTGCGAGACCCCGAAGGGCACAGGGCACGTCTCTCGGGCTTGCTCTAGAAGTGACAGCGGACTCAAGTGAGCAAGAAGCTGGCTGGGGCGTAAAGATTGCTCTGGGAGCCATGAGAGTCCTTCACCACTTCAACAGTCAGCAGTGGCTAGGGTCGGTCCCCAGAACAGACTAGCCCGGACCGCCAGTCTTCTCTGGCACACAAAATAGTGGCTGGATCGTGGGGCTGTCCGTGGTGCTGACCCTGCCCTCTACCTCCAGAGGGATCAGCAGGCACTGGGAGAAGGCTGTGCTGCTCAGACCCACTCCCTCGCCCCAGCTACCAGTTCTGTAAACTGAGGCAATCAGGATAGCACAGCTGGCACTCAGCCATCACCATGGTACCCACCCAAGTAGCAGCTGAGGCAGGCTGAGTTGGCCATGATTCTTGATCTTATTCCAGCACCAGGATCTAAATTCTAGGGCTGTCTGACTGAGGCACCATAAAAAAAGGTTTTTGGCTTGAGTGCTTTCAGACCAAAAAGCTGATCCATCTGCTTCTGAGTTTGCCCCAAAGTGGTAGGTTAGCCAAGTTAACTTTTCTCCTGAGAGTCACAGCAGCAGAATTACTGTATCTTTGACTTCCAGGTTAAGATCACTTGGTAGTAAGAAAATATGGTGTCTTAGTCCATTTGAGGTGTAGTAACAACAAAAACAAACTGGGTGGCTTATAAATAACAAACATTTATTTTATTATTTCTTTTTTATTTTTTTTCTTTATTGATTTTTAGAGAGAGGAAGGGAGAGGGAGAGATAGAAACATTGATGAGAACATCGATTGCCACCTCCTGCATGCCCCCCACTGGGGATCGGGTCCACAACCTGGGCATGTGCCCTGACCAGTAATTGAACCCGAGACCTCTTGGTGCATGGGTCAATGCTCAACCACTGAGCAACACCGGCAGGGCTAAACAACAAACATTTATTTCTCAGAGTTCTTGAGGGTGGCTAAACACTAAACAACAAACATTTATTTCTCAGAGTTCTTGAGGCTGGGAAGTTTAAGATCATGGCACCAATGGATTCAGTCTGGTGAGGACCTGCTTAATGGTTCACAGATGGTACTTTCTTGCTGTGTCTTCACATGGCATCTTTTATAAGGACACTAACCCCAGGAGAGCTCTGCCCTCAAGACCTACTCACCTCCCAAAGGTCCCACCTACTAATAGCATCACCTTGGACATTAGGTTTTCACTATATGAATTTGGGGGTTATACAAAAATTCAATCTATAGGCCATAGGTTCAAGTTTCTATTCTGCAACTTAACTTGTGGTGGGGACAGGTTGCCTCACTTCTATGGACCTCAGTGTCCTCATCTGTAAAATATTGGGCTTGGTAGTCTCTAGGCTTCTTTCTATCTCTAGAAATTTCAACTCCCCTGTATTTTTCTGTTGGGTATTACTCATTGCCTCTGCAGGTTCGATTACATTTTTATTAATATTTATTACAAAATATTAATGGAGGTACTGCATAAGGAGTTTGAGGGGATCCCCAAAGAGCTACACTAGGCTGGGAATGGTTATAAAAACATGTATCAATGAAGAGCAGGAATAAATGGTATTGCCGGGATATGGAATAAACTAAAGTTGCCAAGATCATGTGGTACAACAAATAGTTATGGACTGCCCACTATATGGTGGGCATAAGACCATTATGAAGATTTTAGTGATTCAAAAGGAGTCAGTTTACATTTCAGAGTGAAATGGGCCATTTCATTGTGCTGACTCCATTAAGTTCTGACCAGCAACTGAACCCCATGAAAACTAATGTGCCCACTTTGAGGAGGTCATCTGACCATTCCAGGGTCAAGCTGCATCACTGCAAGGTGAAAGCAATGGAGGCAATCTTAGAGCTGATGTGCCTTCCAGGACAAGTAGGAGTTCCAGATAACAGCAACACACTGGACAACAGCCAACCTAAGGAACAGGAATGGCATTGTGAAGAAAAGGATGGATAAGGAGAAAGCAAAGGGGGACAGATAGGAGAGTATAAGGGAAAAGGAGGGATTATGTCCGAGGACATCCAAATTCAGATCTCCTTCCTCCAGCCCTCTATGGAGGAACGTGTGGCTCACACCGGAGGACGACCAGCGCAGGTTCTGGTGCTGTCCCAGATCTGTCCCCTGCACAAGAGCCCCAAAGTGAAATACCCTCAGCAGCCATCTTGCCTTGCATGGCTCTGTTATTCATGCCCCTGTGCAGGCTCCTTTTAAATACACATATCGAGCCCTGGCCGGTTTGGCTCAGCGGTTAGAGCGTCGGCCTGCGGTCCTGAGAGACCCGGGTTCGGTTCCCGCTAAGGGTACGTACCTCGGTTGCAGTTTGTCCCCGGCCCTGGTCGGTCGTACGGGTGGCAGCCACTCGATGTGTTCCTTTCACATCGATGTTTCTCTCTCTCTCTCTGTTCCTCTCTCTCCCTCCCACTCTATCTGAACAAAAAATGGAAAAATGTCCTCGGGTTAGGATAAAAAAAATTTAAAAAATTTAAAAAATAAATAAATAAATACACATATCGATGTACCTTGTACCAGCTGAGATCTCATCAGAAATGTACTATCTGCCATTGAAAGTAGCACCTTCTTCTCTTTATTTTACCTTGCTCTAGTTTCAAAGACTATTGCAAGTACACAAATGTTTGAAATTTTGTTCATAAATCCATATTCCTTTTAGTTATGCTATTCATGTACATTTTGACCATGTCCCCTCTGAAGGGTTTCATATTGTTCCCTGTTCCCCTCACCTCAAATAATTTTAACTACTTGTCTTGAATTCTACCATATCTTTTTTGTGTGTGTGTGGTACATGCCCCTAGCAGGAACCAAACCTGGGACTCTCTGGTCCGCAGGCCGACGCTCTAACCGCTGAGCCAAACCGGCCAAAGCCTACCATATCTTTTTATTGCAGTTTCAGCAACTATCTTTATTACTAGGGTTAAATAATACTTTGCAGTGGACTAACCTGACCAGTAGAGTAACCTAACCTACACAGCTCTTCTGGTCTACCTTTCTGTCTAGTCTAGGCTACGGCCCTAGGCACTGTCCCTGTAGCAAGGATGGAGAGTTCAAGTGGGATGGAGTCACTGGTTGTGGAACAGGATCCTTCCTAGAAGATGAAGAAGGTCAGTGGGCAGACACTCTGAGACAGGTTCCATAATGAGTAAGAGGTTCTGAATATAATGTTCAGAAGTCTAGGAGCTCTGACCAGGGCAGAGTGTTCTGGGGGGGAGGGGCATCTAAAGTAGCTCAAGGTTGAATGAGAATCACGTTATCTACAACCGTTTATAATGTGGCTCTCCCTTGAAGGGCGGGGTAGGGGTCTGTCATACCTGTAATGAAGGGGAACCAGGTAGAAGTTGGCTAGCTGCACAGCAGGCCAGAGCTACAAGAGAGAGAAAGTACATGTGGGGCTGCCTCCATTACCCAACCCCAGACTGCCTTGCCTGGTCTTCCTTCAACCACTATAAACAAAAACAATTTGAAGAACTGGGTGATCGCTCCCCTGAGTGTGCTGCCCACACTGGGAATGACAGATTTAGGGGTTTATATGTCAGGAGGACCCCCAATCCCTGGGTACTTCTAGACTCAAGGAAGCAGGAGAACAGGCGGCAGAGGTGTCAGCTCTTACATAGTAGTTGGTGATGAGGGCATCAGGATAATCCTGAGGAGACAAAGAAGGAACAAGTTAACACTTGCACTTCCAAGCAGCTCCCATCTCCCAGTCCTACTGTCACACACAGACTTCCATTCAGAGAACACACTTCTGTACCACCCCCCTCAGCTCCCCTCTCCTGCGGAGCCTGGGACTCCACCTGCACACCCACCTGTCTCATCCCCACGAAGCCTGCCTCATTCCCCTGAGCATGCCAGTCGGACAGACAGGGATCTTCCCCACAACTGCCTAACTCACCCGCTGGAGTTTGGCCCAGTTGTCCTGGGCTGACAGTCCATTGAGTGTCCCTACCAGTGGGAGGAAACAGCCTATAAAACATGGGGCAAAGCCCCCCTGGGGAAGCGAAACGAAAGTGCTGTGAGCACCTAAACCTCCCCCTCCCCCAATGCAGCCCACCCTTCCCAACTTCCTTTTCCATTTGCTCACCTGATCCAACAACATCTTCTTTAGAGCATCCACCTTGGTGGTGCCAGGGATAAGCCGGTCCAAAACCCTGTACCAGCCTCCTACTACAGGGCCCTGAAAGTAAACCCCAGGGAGGAGAGGAGGTATGCAGTGAGAGGAGCAGTGGTTTTTACATCACAAGGCTCCTCCCCCAAGCATTAGAAACCAAATCCCAGGGCAAGCATATACTCAGGTTGGCTTAGGTGTGTGAGAGGCCAAGGGAAATGGACCACTGTCCAATCCACAAGCAGCCCTGCTGTGGGCAGAACTTACCACAAAGCCACAGCCCAGAGAGACCATGGTCAGGGTCCGGCTAATCTGGTGTTTGTGTACACCTCGCCTCTCCACCAGTTGCTGTGAGATAACATCACCCAGACCCATCAGGGACCCTGTGCAAGGTACAGAGCTGTCAGGACACCGGGGACGGGCTGCCACTCCAAGGAGGTAGATAAGTATGCTGACTGAATGAAGCTCTGGCTCTCTGGGCCCAAGGGCTTAATTCTGAGACAAATGGCCAGTCCCTTGCTGCTGCTTCCAAGCTTTCCTCTCCCAAGGATGGTGACACCTCACGTGTGTACTGTTAGAAACTGGGATGAGAAGCCTTGAGGAGGCCAGGGCCCAAGAACTCTGCATTGAGCAATCAAGGGAAGTTAGAATCAGAAACTAAAGCTAGAGGAAGAATCTAAGGTGCCAGGGGCTGAGAACCACAGTCAGAATTGGGGAAGCCTTCCAGATAACAGAGGTATGGAAATAATGGTCTTAATTTAGAGGTATAGAAATAAAGGTCTGCACCCTCACATAACCAGTACATGGCAGAGCCAAGGCAAAAACCAGGTGGCTTGATTTCCTAGACAGTATTCTTTCCAGGACACCACACTACAAATAAGTCATATGTAGAATGCTAAGGAAACCTGTCTCCCTCCCACCCCGCAGCCCAAGGCAAGACCCTAGTCAATGTCCTTCACCTTGTTCTTGGGGTCTCTAATTGTGGATAATAGCAAGAACAACTCTTTTTCTAAAACATGAGTGTTCAAATGGTCCTAGTTAGGAAGATGACTGGTTGAGCTGGTAAGATTCCCCACAGGGAGGAATCCTGGCCACCTCTTAGTATAATCAGGTAAACTCAGCTTCCCCATTCCCAATCTCAGATTGATCTGGCAATAGGTATTATAGCCATTTCTCCCCTAAGCTTTTGCATCCGCTTCCCCTCCCCTTGCTTGTGCCTAGTTCTAAGCAGCCCATGTCAGTCACTCATACTAGAAACCAAGACTGAAATCATCAATATTTACAGAGCCCCACCCCCACCCTCCGTCAGTTATGGTGGTGTGATGGTTTCTAGCAAATACACACTTATATATAGGGCTGCTTGGGAGTGACCGTGTGATCTCCAGCTCGCCTGTCCATCTCACTGAGTAATGAGAGTCCCCCTCCAGCCCCGTAGCCACCACTGTCTTTGTGCCCTCAATTAGCACTGGGCAAACACATCCTTCAACCCCTTTCCTTGGCCCGGAGCTGGCTCTGACGTCCGTGCTGGCTGCACACTCACTGCTCTTCCCCCACACCTTCTGCACAGCCCTGCCCCTGAGCAGCCTCATCAGAGGCAGCTGGGCAAGGCTGACTGCTAGAGCTGGGACACCTGTAGGTGACTTAGGCTGCTGGCCCTCTCAGCCATAGAGCAACTCTGAGACCCCCAACACATCCATCAAGACAGCCCTACCTATAATACCCCTCCTCTCCCTGAACCTCCCAGTGGTGGAGGTCCTCCCCAGGACACCGCTAGCTGCAACTCCCGGAGGACAAGGACAGAATCCTAGATATCTTTGTTCTCTCATCCCTAGCCATACCTAACCAAGCCCCTGGCAGGTGCTGAGAAAATAAACCAAGGAAAAATGTCAAGTGTGTTGCCCAAACAACAGGACTACTCTGGGAAAGAGCATAAAGAATTCTAAGTCCAGTCCTAAGTCTAGCCCAAAGGACCACATGTCAGCCTCAAGGTGTGAGGACCAGTGGAACTGAAGACTTGTTCCCCCTGTTAGCACTCAACTCCCCATCCCCTCCATAACTCGCCCAGGCAGGGGAGGGAGCTGCTGTGGCCATGCACAAAGGGAAGAGTGACTCTCAGAAGTCTGCGAGAGTGAACAGAAAGGCAGGCGCTTGTTAAATGAAGACTAACAGTCTGACTTTAGCAAGATGTTTAGAGTTTACAAAGGGCTCTCACACATTTAACCCTCACAAAATGTCTGGGAGGTAGGGGTCACATCTCCATTTAATGTCTTTGAGAGAAGAGAGAGTTCATAAGAAGTGGAGCTGGGGCCTGAACCCAGGCCTTCTCTCAAGGGGGAACAGGAGGCCAGGGAAATTTCCAAAATACTCCGAGACTTGGGCCTAGGGGCCACAGCATACCAAGCAGCTCCTGTGGCTGCTACTCGCAGGGGGTTCTTGCCCAAACCAGGCCCCAAAAGCCTGCATATCAAAGACAACTCTCTCTTTTTTACTCCCCAAAATGTGAGACCATCTCTGTTCCATTCCCTGTCACCCGTGGGATGGGCAAGCAGCAATATTCCTGGGAAAGAAACAGTCACAAAGAGGTGTGTGCTTTTACTCTTCATGTTTGCCAACTGTCACACAATAAGCTAAAGGCAGAGCAGGAATGAAAACCGAAGTCCTAACTTCTAGCCCCGTAATCCTGGAGGCCTGCAGCCTTTAAGGAAGATAGATCCCCCAAACCTGAGAGAGACCGAGGGGAAGGGCAACAGCAGCAGGAGGAGTAGGTGGTGTGTAGCTCTGTCGCCCCGCCAGGTCTGTCAATTTCAGACAGGACAGGACCCAGATGTTCCTCCTCTGCCCACAAATGATAGGCCCCTGGGCCTCAGCAACTCCAGGGTGGTCTATAGCTTTGGTCCCAGCATAGGGCAAGGCCTGTATTTCTGGTCCAAATGATTGAGCAGGAAAGGCTGACAATCAGATTCTTATTCCATCTTCCCCAACCCCAGGTTCTGGGAGTCCTCCTAGGCATATTTGGTTGGTCTCGATCTTCCAGTGCTCTGGCTCCTTTCCTCGGACTTGTTTCTAGCGGTTTGGGGCTGGAGGTCTGCAGAGACATACTGCCTGAGCCCTGATGGGGCAGGGTGAGGGGCTGCTGGGCAGTGATGCTCCAATGCCAGGCTGGGCGCAGAGCCCTGCAGGCAGATGCTGGCGCGGGCGTGACATCATACCCCTGGGTAGGTGCCAGTTCTCATGCCGTCACTTGCCACCAGATTCAGCAGTGGGGGCGGGTTGGGGGAGAGCCTGCCTCTGAGCACAGATGTAATTGGGACCAGCCCTCTGCCCACTAGTGGAAAAGCCCCAACTTCCACACCCTCTTCCTAGGCAAAGGTAGGAGTAAGTTCCCTATTTTGTTCCTCTCCTGGTTTTTGTGAATGGAGTCTTAGAAGCAAGAAAATAAAGTGTTAATGGAAGAGAACAGGCTGAGGGGCAGAAAGTTGGAATGAAGGACAGGAAGCGTGTCCTTGAGTACAGGAGACCCGAGTTGTCAGGTATAGCCATTGGCACGGGGCCAGCAGTGCTGTTGACTCATTCCTCCCCAGAAATCTCCAAATAGTCAATAGTTGCCTGGCATAGGGGCTTGGTCTGGCACAGCCCAGAGGGAGCTAGAGCCTCGCAGTGAAAGGGGAGAGTGTATCTTCTGGGATAGGTCCGAATGTCCTCCCATTCCTGACCTGGACCTATCCTACTGCTAGAAAATGAGACAAAATGGAGGATTCTGTAGCTTGTCAGGTGTCTCAGCCCAAACCAGCTGGAGCTACACTCAGCATTCTGAGTCCCCAGTAGTCTCAGGTGCAGGAGAGTGCACTGGCAAGTGCCACAGGCTCTAATGCAGCTCTCCCACTGCTGATGTGAGCATGTCGCCCCCCTTGCCTCAGTTTCCTTCTCTGTAATAGACTGTATGAATTCTTACATCCTGGCTTAATTCAGACTCCAGGGAAACCAGTGTCTGTAGAAGCTCAGCTTCTCCACAGCAGGACCAGGGTGGCCTAAGACAGGTGGAGCTGGACCCTGGGCCCCATGAAGACTGGAAAGACCCTAAAGGAAGGACGGGAGGTCCGGCTGGTGTGGCTCAGTGGATTGAGCATGTTGCATGGACTAAGGTCCTGGTTCAGTTCCCAGTCAGGGCACATGCCAAGGTTTCAGGCTTGATCCCCAGTGGGGACCCTACAGGAGGCAGACAATCAATGTTTCTATCTCTCTCTCCCTTCCTCTCTCTCTAAAAAACCAATAAAAAACATATTAAAAAAAGAAAGAAAGAAAGGATGGGAGAAAGCTGAGTCAAATTCTACAAAACACATAGCAGACTTTTGACCAGATTGCTGTTCCTGACTCTGGCTTGGCCCAAGCTGAGCATATCAGACATTTCTTTTGAACCATTTCAGATCTTCTTGATTCACTAATCTCTTACTCCAGCCACCACTGCAGTTCAGTGTGATAGATTCTCACCTCTGGCCTATGCCACACCTGGGGCTGCACTGTTGATACGTCACTTGGAGACTGTGCATGTGCAATCTGGTAGTGCATGGGCATTAATGTCTACATGGAGAACCTTTAACCAATGTGGGATGGCAGCTGGTGGGTAAAGGATTCTCCTTTTCTCCAGAAAAACTTCACCTGTGTAGTCCTAAGAGGCATTTCAAAGAGCTTCTCAGCTTTAAGGGACTGAGCAGCCACGTGTCCTAAGCAGTGTCCAATTTAGTAATGTATCCTTATATTAGCTCCCCCTCTTCCTTTCCCCGCAAGGAGGTCCTTCCTACTTCCTTACAAGGTACTTGCACAGAAGTTTCAGGCTCTGCTTTTTGGAGAACCAAGGCTAAGACAGTGGTCCATGTTCAGATTTTTTTTAAATTGATGATTTAGAGAGAGAGAGAGAGGAATGGAGAGAGAGGAGGAGAGAGAAATATCGATTTATTGTTCCACTTATTTTTTTTTATCCTCACCCGAGGATATTTTTCCATTTTTTGTACAGATGGAGTGGGAGGGAGAGAGAGGAAGGGAGAGAGAGAGAGAAACATCGACGTGAAGGGACACATCGAGTGGCTGCCACCCGCACGACCAACCAGGGCCGGGGACAAACTGCAACCGAGGTACATGCCTTAGCGGGAACCGAACCCGGGTCTCTCTGGACCGCAGGCCGACGCTCTAACCACTGAGCCAAACTGGCCAGGGCTATTGTTCCACTTATTTAGGCATTCATTGGTCGCTTCTTTTATGTGCCCTGACCAGAGATCGAACCCACAACCCTGATGTTTCAGGAAGACACTCTAACCAACTGAACTACCCAACCAGGGCTCATGTTCAGACTTCTGGCAAGTGGAACAAACCCAACCCAATGCCACTATAAAAACAATAGCTAGCTGTGCCTTGGTTGCCAACACTCATAGAACACTCCAGGCCAATCCCTGGAGCATTGAAGTTCATTAACATTTTTAAATCTCTAAAGCTTTTTCACAGAGATAATCCCTACACTAACTCTGTGAGGTCATATAACTATACTCAAGTTCTAAATGAGGAAACTGAGGCTCAAAGAGGTTTGTTGACTTGTCCATGCAGCTACTATGAACTACTAAAGCTCTGAGATTCAAATCTTGGTCTTCTAACTCCAAGTCTGAAATCTCTATTCTGTTTTCCAGTGTGATGAGCTACCCCATGGAGCTTTAGGAACCACTGTGCTGGGATCTAAAAACAGCTTGATTAGCAATCTCCACCTTTTCTCTTTATTTTTAGTTTGATCCAAATACACTGAACAGCAGGGAAGAAAAAGTCTGAAAGGTTTGGAAAAGTCTGAGAAAAGTGCTACCTAGAGGTTGCTTCAGGGCTGAGCTGTCAGCGCTGCCTCAGGAAGACAGCAGCTGCAGAGCCGCAGGGCTCTAGCACCGTCAAGCACCTCAATTCAGCTACATATCTGTACCTGGGGCCATTTGGAGCTCCAATTTCTGCCCTTGTCAGCTGCAGGTACTTTGAGTAGGGAAATACAAGGACTATCCTTCCTTCTATTCTTAATGGCCAACAAGGGGAACCTTCCTTCCGGCAGTTAGGGGCCCTGAGGGAATCTGAGGCTGGGCAAAGGGCCCAGCGTGTCAGTTCCCATCACAGCCACACAGTCCAGCATGAGTCACCACACACGTAGCCAGGTGAGTCATGCAGGCTGACGGACACTCTGAGGACAGGACATAGGGTGGTTGGGCACAGGAGGCTGGAGAAGGACCTAAGAAGGGGCAAAAGGATCCACCTTTTGGCTAGTCCCCCACTGAGGTTTCTAGTGCTGATGAGAAGCTATTCCAGTAACAGGACTGCTGTTCCATCCTGGCTTTCAGTATACCCACCCTTTCAACAGTCTTCGTCTCATAAACCCACGGTCCTCATTATAATCCTGTTCCCTTCCTCTAAACATAGGTAAGACCCCATCTTAACCTGATCACTCTTGTACTGCCCCTTCATACTCCTTACAATACTTTCCCCTATAAAACTTACTTATCTCTGTGTCATCCCTTCTCACATTTGCTAATCTACAAAATGAAAATGGTAACAAATGCAGATAAGTCGCTGGGTTACCTTTGTGAGGTTGCTACTCAATCACTGGATTTGGAGTAAAAATAAATCATTGATTAGAATATTGTATGGGGATACATACAAAGGTAGTAAAATCATAAGAAAAGCAAAAGAATAATATAAACAAAATTAAGGAAAGTTATTTCTTGAGAGTATTAGGGACAGGTGCAGAAGGGATCTCAAAGTTGGGTATTCATACAGAAGCATTCAGTTTTAATACTATTAAAATTGTACATATATGTCTTAATCATTCTTTTGTATGTCAAGATGTATTTCACAATAAAAAAATACTGAGCCCTGGCCGGTTTGGCTCAGCAGTTAGAGCATCGGCCTGCGGACCAGAGTTGCAGGTTTGATTCTGGTCAAAGGCACATACTTCGGTTGCCGTTCAGTCTCCAGCCTTGGTAGCAGTCATGCAGGAGGCAACAAACTGATGTGTCTTTCTCACATCAATGTTTCTCTCTCTCCCTCTCTTCCTCCCTCCCTCCCTCCCTCCCAATCTATCTGAAAATCAATGGAAAAATGTCCTCGGGTGAGGATAAATGGGGACTCAAGTAGTCCTAGCTCACAGACCTTGTGGGGACCCTTTGAAATAATGTGTGAATGTATTTGCAAATTGTAAAATGTTAGAGGAACGTTTGTTATGATTGTTTTTCTAAATTAAGGCCTTCTAGAGCAATGCCTTTATCACGAAGGGATGACTCCTCAGCTTTTTGAGGACTTTCAGATCCTACTTTACAGCTAGGCTGACTATGCATATTCCTTTCCTTAAGGTGACCCACCCTCCAAAACAGACTGGAGACAGCCTGAGATGAAAGACAGCCAACTCTTTGGAGGAGGGGAGGCTAAATAGAAGCAAAAAGTGAGGGAGGTGTGGTGGGGCAAGCTTCTGCTTTCCAAGTTAAGCCTACTCTGGTCCCACTCAGGTCCCAGAGGGGCACTCACCAGCTGTCAGGACCTGTACTTTCCACGGGTGAGCAGTCAGGGCTCGTTGGTATGCCCGCCAGAGTGCCATGCTTCCTGTCAAGGCAAGAGGAGAGTGGTTCACCCCCACTGTTGCCCCCACAATTAAAGAGACGCTGGACCTTCCCTTTTGCCGACTTCCTCTCCCCTCCCGCTTTCATTTGGTCCTAAAGGGCCTCAGGAGGGATGTTTCCTGGACAACTTCCTGTCACAGGGTCGCCTGCGACAATCGGATAAAAGAAGGAAGGCTGTGGGGGGCCATGAAATCCCGTGGCAGCCACCTGCCACCCCACTCCCAAGCCTTGAAAGCAGGGCCACCTGGGGCCCGTCCCTACGAGGCACTCATGAGGACAGGTTTGCTCTGGCCTTCACCCAGAGTCTGGTCGGTCCCCAGATTCAGACTCTTAGTTAGAACCAGCCTGAAATACTTCCTGAGTCCAACCCCACGTCAGAAATAGGATCTGTCACTCATGGGCCTGAAATGATCACACGGGCTGTGGAGATTTGAGCGGCTGACTGCAGAACCTAGGCTACTCACCTGGGCGTGAACTCAGCCTCTCTCGCGTGATCCAAGCGGGGGAGGGACTTCCGCCGTGAGCCCCGCCTCTTCCGCCCTGCTGATCAGGAGGCTTTCCCCCAGCAGCCAGCGCAGGAATGGGAGTGGACGGATTCATCATTAATGTGGAGAGCGGCTCAGCTTGGTCAGAGCAACTACTTTTTCAAGTTGCCTAAGCCCCACGCCGGTCTTGGTGTGGCGCCACCTTGGTTCGACCCGGGTCTCCTGTCCCTTTTCCCTGATGATTCTCAACCTGGATAAACCCTCGCTGTTCCCGCGCCCCGGAACTGGCCAAGGTCCTGACTTTGGTTCTGGAGGGGATTTACACTAGTTAAAAGACCAAATGTGGCAGGCTGCAAAGTTGTATTCTCATCAGACTGTCTAGGTTCAAATCCCAGCACCATCACTTATATGACCTTATCAGACTGGTTAACTGCTCAGAATACAATTTTACCTTTATCAAGTAAAATGGGGCAATGCCTCCTTTATATGATTAAGTAACATATGCAAAGTACCTGAAATAGATCAAGTGCTTAATAAACATTTGTTTATCCTCTTTCCTTCCTTTCCTCTTGGGAACACATGGGAGAATAATTTTTACTGGAGAAATCTGAGAAGCTTTTTGGTGAAGGTGGAATTTGGGCTGGAACCTTGAATGATGAATAGAACTTAGGTGGAGATGCTAGAAAAGGACACTGCCAGAGGACAGACTGTGTGAGAAAAGGCACAAAGGAAAAGTGCAGAAACCCATGGATAGTATGAAATGGACATATTGGGAGGGAAGATTAGAAAGGGTGTGACCCAGGGAGAAAGGGGTTTATGTTAGAGAAAAAGAGCAAGGGCTGAAAACATCTTTCTGATTTCCTTCTGGAGATCAAGACTGGGGCTGACCTTAGCAACAGGAGCAGGGTTGCCAGCAGCAATCTACAGCCTCAACAGCTTGGTTCCCTAGGTCCCATCTTTTTTTCACCACTAAAAGTGGGATTTCATAACAGTGTCAAGGGACTACTATGTAGACTGAGCAAAACTTCTCTGCAATGGAAGGCATTTCCCTTTCAATCAGCTCAAAACAGAACTGGCACAACCTGAGCTGGATCACAACAGAATGGTGCAATACTTGGCTCCTTTGCACTGATGTGGGTTGTGGTCCCTCTGCTAATAATGGTCTGGGTTGCCTCCAGGTCTGCTTTCTCTTCTGTACAAAAAGGAAATTGAAGTACTTGATTCCATTCTTAAAGGAATATGATAAATTCCCTACACTTAAGCAGCAGAAAGCTATTCCCAGATATTTGGCCAATTGGTAGAGTGCCAGAGGGCTTTGTTCCAGGTAGGCACTAAACTAATCTCTACTTCCTTCAATAGCAGCTGGCTGTATATTTTTCTCTATAATAGTTACTGAGGTCATCTGACTACCTACCCCAAACCTCAGGTTGGGCATAGGTTGTATTCCTATACATTCCAAAATTATGCTTTGCCTATTTCTCATTGCTGGGTATGTTCTTGCTTAGGAAGAAGTATTGCAGTCATGATGAGTCTGCAGCACTCTACAAACGGATTTTAACAAGATGAGCTGTAACAAACAGCAGGTCCTCAAATAACACCATTACATTATAACGTCGATGAGATGCCATAGGAACTTAAATCTTGTTTATATGACTTCGTCTATGATAAAATTGGTTACATTATAAGTCATTTAAAGTCACAGAACCTTGCCCTGGCTGGGTAGCTCAGTTAGAGTGTCATCCCAACACACCAAGATTGCAGGTTTGATCTCTGGTCAGGGCATATGCAAGAAGCAACTGATGAAGCATAAATAAGTGGAACAAAAAAATCTATTCTCTCTCTCAAAAGCAATACACTAAAAAAATGTTGAGCCCTGGCCAGTTTTGATCAGTGGCCCATGAACCGAAGAGTCATGGGTTCGATTCCCGGTCAAGGGCTCGTACCTGGGTTGCAGGTTTGAATCCCAGCCCTAGTGTGGATAATGCAGGAGGCAACCAATCAATGTGTCTCCTCATATCCATGTTTCTTTCTCTCCCCTTCCTTCCCTCCCACTCTAGCTAAAAAAAATAAAATAAAATAAATGGAAAAAATATCCTTGGGTGAGGATTTAAAAAAAAGTTGAGAAAAAAAAGTCACATAACCTACTGATGATTAAGTGCGGACTTACTGTACATTACTGTACTTGGGTTCTAAACATCTCTTATACATAGGGTTAAAATAAAGTAGCTAATAATGTTCAATAAGTCAACCATGTGACAGTACCATGAAGGATCAAAAATCATGACGTGTAAAAGAATGGTTAAGGTAACCGAAGATATTTAATCTAGAGAAGAAAAGACTTGGGAAACACGATAGCTATTTTAAACACTTAAAAGGGCAATCACAGGTAAGAGTGACTAAATTTCCTAATACCCATGGTAAAATTTAGAGGTATCTCTCTGGTTGGATATAAAGATGTTTTAAAACATGACTGTCTAGGAGTGTTCAAGAGGGTCAGATGACCAGTGATCAGGAATATTTCATAAGCAGGAGCAAGTAAGATCTGAGCCACTGTTCTACTAGTAGTGTGTTTGTGGTGTTTCTCAGTTAAAGAACTATTATAAGCAGCTTCAGTCCAATAAAGTACTACCCCCCACCTCCATGGCTTGCATGTTGGTTACTCTGAACAGGAAGCTGGAAAGGCAGTAATATTGGATCCTGGAATATAGTCAGGCAGAAACCTTCATGCAGATACTCTTTCCAGTTTTCTAAACACCCACTCACATGTGGTCTCAAAAACACCCAGTACCTTTACTTAGCTTTACCCACTTCACAATATGCTCAATATGAGCAATTTGACTCCCAAGCCTAGGTCAGGCCTGAATGTTTCTTGTGAGCCATAGTTTTAGGCTAAGGAGCCTTGAGAGTTTGTGGAGGGCAAGCCCCCCTGCCACAGGGGGTTGTGATGACAGCTGAAGTCGATGGAAGGAGAGGTATCTAAAGAGTCCTGGGGAGGCAGGTCTAAAGGTCCAGGCCTGGCAGCATCACTGTCCAAGGCCCCAGTTCCTATGGTCTGTGCATGGGAGCCATTTGTTCTTGACAGACTTCATTCCAAGGGTCCCATGTGGACTATGACTAGGGATTGGGCAGAAGGCGATGGCTGGTTGGAGAGAAGCCAGGCCCTTTAGTAGGGGAGGATGGTTGGAACACAGCACGGAAGTGGGCTCGGCTTTCAAGCTGCATACGGTGGCCCAGTGGGGAGGTGAGTCCACGGACAAAATGGATCCGAACCAGCCCTGACTGTCCCCCAGATACGAGCCACCCATAGGAGTCCAGGTTTGGGCTGAAACGTACCTGGGAAGAGAATAGAAAACAAAAGAGAGATGCTCACAGTTGGTGCTTTAGGGTGAGTCCTAGCTGTGAGAACAAAAAACATGGGCCACAATCTGAAAGGATAGGACCACGAGGGCGTGGGAGGTAGGAATGAGAAGACAATGAACAAGGTAAGCTCTTGAAGATGAGTTTGCCAGAACTATTTTCCCTCCTTAGCCCTTTCGGTTGCCTTTTCATCTCCCATTTCATTCATTACAGGCCCAGAGTTCGGAGAAAATGAGAGCAAAAAGTGGAGAAGAGAAGAGGCAAGGTTTTTACCTTATGAATAGCCTCCAGCTGCAGCCTGTCCAGGCAGAGCTGAGAGTGCCCCTCTCCCTCCTGCATACGCAGCATTGGTTCTCTATGGAGCAGATCATGGAATGAACTCTGGGAAGAAGTATAATGGGAGAGAGATAGTGAGCAGCTTCTTAGTTTTGCATCTTTGTGCTGGAACTCTTTAGAATTCCCTATTACACAAGGACTAAAGTTTTCTATTTTTTTCTAGTGCCCCCCATCTATTCTCCTGGCACCAATTTACCAAATCTGTGTCTTGAAAGAGCAAGTAGTGATGGTTGACAGTTTCAGCATAAGTTCGAGCCTTGGGAGGGTTGAGGGCACCAGATGAAGCAGAAGAGTGGTCTTGACCTTCAGGATTATCCTGATATGGCATCAAATCTGCTTTATATATAGGCTAGAAAAGAGACCATCAGATTAGGTTCTATAAGACTGGAGATAGAATGAAAGTAAAAGAGAGAAAATTGGTTTGGGGCAGGAGAGACTTAAAGATGAAGAAAGTAGTATGTTTAAACATATGTTCACATGAACTAGGGTATGGAGCATTATGTGCAACTCTACCAAAACTCCCAAGGATAATATCAGGGCTGGGAAACCTAGTAGTAATTTGTACTCTACTACTAATTTATATTACTAATTTGGGAGATCACATGGATTAGGACCTAACAGATGGTCCTGCCATGAAATATCCATATACGTACAAATCTTCGCTCTACAGGCCGCTTGACAGTAATTGGGTTCAGTGCCATATCAGGCAATATAGCTGCAATGAGCTCCCCAGATGTATCTCCTGCGGCTATTGTCCCCAGCCAGTCGGATCCTGAAAGACTCTAATAAGAAGAGACAGATTTCATTCATTCATTCATCCATTCATCCAGTTCTGTGAACTGGTAATAACTGCAGTCTCAGTGGGAAGAGACACACACACAAACAAAAATGAGTTCATCATAACATATATTTCTGATACTATAGACCACACACCTATCTTATTCTATCCAAAACTACTGCCTCTTTCTGACCACTAGGTGAGTAAATGAATCGTTTTCCTGTTTAATGAAGATTTAGAAGACAGGGGCTCACCCAGACAGTGCCTTTTCGAGGAGCAGTGAAGTAGGCCTTGAAACCAAGGTAGCCAGCATCAATATAATGAATTCCACAGAGTCCATAACTATGAGAGAAAAAGAAAATGAAACCTTCCTTTTTCTAAGATTAGATTAATTTCTTCTCCCCATGTCCTTCCAGAATTCAAACTATTTCAGTGAAACAATTCTCAACCCTCCTCTCCCCACAATAATCTGGCACACTTTGCACCCCAACCCCTAGTGTCTGTCCCCAGAGCTTCTCCTATCTCCGTCCTGCCATACGAGGCATAGCAGTTGTCCTGAGCCACAGTGACACCATTGTAGGGGAGCAGCCAGGCCAACTCTGTACTCAAGAAGCGCTTGATAGAGTTTATTGGTTCATAAGGTCGTCGAAGGTCCCAGAATTTGATTTTCCGGTCACTCCCTGCAGACACTATGAAATGACTGTGGAAAGATGAAAGATGAGGGAGAAGATCAAATCTAAACAAATTTGAAGAGTCAGTTTGTCCCAGCTTCACCTCCCACTTCCACAGCTCTCCTATTCCAACCTGTTGGCTTTGCACCACTGAAGGGTACGCACAGCCTGGTCATGGGCTAGGAAACACTGGAAAGGGTAGAGCTTCAAGGAGCCATCGGAGAGCCGTATCCGCTGCAGGGGCGAGTTAGTGGGAAGGTTCCAGAAAACCACCATGCCTGAAGTAGGGACAGAACATGTAGATATTAAGGCAGGTTCTCTTCCTTGCTCTAATTACTTTATCTTCTACCCTCAAATCTGATTCTCTATGAAATGACAGAGGGATCATAATTAGCTAGTCAACATTTCCTCCATAGTTTATTTTTATTTCTTTTTTTCTTTATTGATTTTAGACAGAGAGAAAGGGAGAGAGAAATATTGATAAGAGAGAACATCGATTGCCTGCCTCCTGCATGCCCCCCATTGGGGATCTGGCCCACAATCTGGGCATGTGCCCTGACCAGGAATTGAACCAGTGACCTCTTGGTGCATGGGTCGACACTGAACCACTGAGCCACACCAGCTGGGCTCCCTCCACAGTTTAAAGACTCAACCTGAGCCCTAGACGGTTTGGCTCAGCAGTTAGAGCGTAGGCCCACGGATCAGAGAGTCCTGGGTTCGGTTTCCGCTAGGGGCATGTACCTCGGTTGCAGTTTGTCCCCAGCCCCGGTTGGGGTTGTCTGGGTGGCAACCACTCGATGTGTTTCTCTCACATAGATGTTTCTCTCTCTCTCTTCCTCCTTCTCTCCCTCCCACTCTATCTAAAGATAAAATGCAAAAAAAAAAAAAGACCCAACCTGATATTTTTAGTTCCAAACCTCAGCAATAAAAAAGTAGTATCTTAGTCTGGGACCTGCAGTTGAAAGGTAGATTGAATGTACTCAGTAGCCTCTACTTTCTACTAAATAAAATAAAAGTAAAGTGATTTTAAAGGAACAAACCCTCTAGAACAGGGTTGGCAAACTATAGCCCATGGGCCAAATACAGCCTGCCACTTTGTTTTGGTCAACAAAGTTTGACTGGAACATAGTCACACTCAGTCATTTGCCTAATGTCTGTGGCTATTTTCACTTCACAATGGTGGAGTTGAGCAGTTCCAACAACGGCCAAATAGCCCATAGAGCATAAAATAGTTGCTATCTGGACCTTTACAAAAATGTTTGTCAACTCTGCTCTAAGACAGAGAAAATAGAAAAGGAGCCAAAAGCAACAAAATATAGAGAAATAAAAAACAAATGGACAAAAACTAACTTGGCTGCCCCCAAACAAGTTGACCCCCGACTAGGCTGGCAGAGGAGGAGGTAATCAAAAATGTAACTTTGGCCCTGGCCAGTTTGGCTCAGCAGTTAGAGCATCAGCCTGAGGTCTAGCAGTTCCCGCTAAGGGTGTGTACCTCAGTTGCAGTCTGTCCCCGGCCCTGGTTGGTCGTGCGGGTGGCAGCCACTAGATGTGTCTCTTTCGCGTCGACATTTCTCTCCCTCTCTCTTCTTCTCTCTCCCTCCTACTCTATCTGAGCAAAAAATGGAAAAATGTCCTCGGGTGAGGATTAAAAAAAACAACGTAACTTTGATAAAAATAAGACAAACAGTCCGGCTGATGAGGTTCAGTGGTTGAGTATTGACCCATGCACCAAGAGGTGGCCGATTCAATTCCCAGTAAGGACACATGCCCAGGTTGTGGGCCCCATCCCCATTGAGGGGCAGGCAGGAAACAGCCAATAGATGTCCTCTCTCATCGATGTTTCTATCTCTTTCTCCCTCTCATTTCCTCTCTCTGTAAAATCAACAAAGAAAAAAAAATTTAGATTAAAAAAAAAAAGACAAACTAAAGAACAACAGAATTTAATAAATAAAATTTGGGAAAAATATGTTATGTGTAGCTAAAACCTCTTTTATACATACATTCAGGAAATGTAGCACCTATGAACCTTTCTTTTTTTTTTATCCTCACCTGAGCACATTTTTTGATACTTTGTTCAGATAGAGTGGGAGGGAGAAAGAGAGTGAGAAACAACGGCGTGAAAAGGACACATCGAGTGGTTGCCACCCACACGACCCAACCAGGGCCAGGGACAAACTGCAACCAAGGTATGTGCCCTTAGCGGGAACTGAACGCAGGTCTCTCCAGACCGCAGGTCAATGCTGTAACCACTGAGCCAAACTGGCCAGGGCCTACAAACTTTTCTTGAAAAAAATGTATTGGGAGTGAATTACAGATAAGCAACATTAACAATTCAGCGATAGAGGGGAAGACAGATGAAAGGAATGATAGACACTTGCAATCATTTCATTATAAAATTAAGATAAAATAACTTTGGAAATTAAGACAGCAAAACAGCATCAAGTTTCATACACCGTGACAATGTAACAATAATACACCAAAAGAAACACAATCAGAAGATAGTGGAAGAAATGGTAAGAAGAAATATGAGTGTCAATTTCCTTATCTTCCCAGCAGAATGGCTACTGATATCTAAAAATAAACTTGTCATTTACAAACTACCACCTAAAACTTCCAATTACTTATTGTTATTTATAATTGTTTATTTTTCCTTTTTAATTTTTTTTTGGTTGTTGTTAACCCTCTTTGGAGGATTTTTCCATTGATTTTTAGAGAGGGTTGAGGGGGAGAGAGAGAAAACATCTATGTGAGAGAGATAAACAGATTGGTTGCCTTCCACACATGCCCCAACCAGAGCTGGGGATCAAACCTTCAACCCAGGTGCGTGCCCTTGACTGGGAATTAAGCCTGAGACCCTTTGGTACCAAGGGCCAAACTAACCACGGAGCCACACCATTCAGGGCAAAAGTACCTTTAAGGAACTAATGTCTTTGTGGTAAAGGGACACTTATTGGGAGTTTAGCTCACCTTTCAGCTTTACTTGTCTTTTTCTTCTAGGAAATTAAAGTGTTAAATGTAATACCTTTTGTCTGGTCAGTGTGGCTCAGTGGTTGAGCACTGACCCATGCACCAAGAGGTTGTGGGTTCGATTCCCAGTCAGGGTACATGCTCAGGGAGTAAGCCAAATCCCCAGTGGGGGCATGCAGGATGCGGCCAATTACTGTTCTCTTTCATCAATGTTTCTCTCTCTCTCCCTTCTCCCTTCCTCTCTCTCTAAAATCAATAAAGAAAAAAAACTTTAATGCCTTTTAATTTAAAATCACTTATGGAGTATGATACCATTTCTTATCTTTATGCACAGAGAACTGCATGAAATGTTCATCTACTCGATTATTTTCCTGAATAGGAAAATTCTAGTAACTTTTTTTTTCTTTTTTGTTTGTTTTTTTACATTGCCCGAATATTTATAACTATGTAATGCTCAACAATGAACCAAAAAAGGAAACAAGCCTAAAGAGCGATACTCATTTTGTTGTTTTTTACCATTATAGTATCCAGCAGCCAGGTGGTGGTGGGGCCGGGTGGGCATCCAGGCCAGGCTAAGGCACTGACCACACTCAGAGGGGTCTGACACTTGCACAGACCCCACTTGAAGGGTTGCCACACATTGTGCCTGCAGGGACAGAAGAGATGGGACTAGGGTTAGGGATACCTACTCTTTGGAGGACTCAAATTAGTATTCAATCCAGCAGGAGAGGAAGATCTCTGAGTTAGAGACTCTATGGAATCAATGAGGGGGGCTCTAGCAGATGGAGCCTAGGGTAAGGCAGCAGATTCCTGACTCACCTTATAGATGGCGGGCTTCACTGCATCTGTGAGGCAAAAAGAGCAGAACTGATATTCTGGATCCAGAGGACTGAGGTCTTAATCAGCCTTGCTCTTAGATCAGCACCCCGCCCTCTCAATAATGACCTTCCCTTACACTCTTACCTTTCCACCATTAAATGTACAAACCCACCTCTTTCTGCCCCATTTTCTTCTTTCTTCCTATTATGCCTGATAGTATCCTTCTATCAGAATAGCTAATCCCTCCACTCTGCTCTCTTCTCATCAGGTCCCACCTTTTCTAGAATTTTGCTCTTTGGTTACCTGTCCTTTCTCCTGCATTATTCACTTTCTCTCTTCCTACTGGGTCATTCTCATTCACATGTAAACATGCACTACTGTCTCCTATCTAAACCAACCAAACAAAATTCTTCCTTTATCCCCAGCCACTACCTTGTTAAGTGTTCCTCTTCACAGCCAAACTTCCTGAGAGCATTGTCTATCCATTCTGTCTTCACTTCTTCACCTCCCATTCCCTCCTCCACCTGACCACCAAATATGGGCCTTCTCTGGATTCAAACCTAGGTGCCTTTTTCTTTACTCAGTACAGTTGAAAAACAAATAAATTCAACAAATCAGAGCTGCCTTTCCCTGACTCCTCTCCTTGCTCATCTTCAGCTCTATATCCTCTCCCTCTCTTCACAACAAAGAGAAGGTGTTCCTACGTATGTGTGGTGGTGAGAACAGTAGAGGCTGAGGACAAGATTAGGGACAAGAGTACGGCAGGGGAAACTGGCCCCATCTGTCAGCCTTAGCCTTTAGCAGTTCTTTACACAGCCAAGTAACTGTGGCAGCAAGAAGAGACCTGAGAGCACAGAAGAACAGGGAAGAGGGGAGATAAAGGTAATGTGCAAAAGACTGCAAATGTAAGTCTGCAAAAGAGTACTACTTTCAGGCTGCTGAAGAGGTCAAGAGTATAATGTGTGAAGTCAGAATAGGAGGTATGACTGTTTAAGGCTTTGTACTAGAGAGATTAGGCCTAGAGGAATTTCAGGGGAGATAGACAGGCAATACAAAGCTCTGGCCATGGCTACAGCAGCTCCATTCTCCTTGCTGTGCTACTCACCTGGGGGCTGATGTGCCAGCAGGGCCTCAGGATGGGGCAGACTGAACAGCAGCACCTTCCCGTCTGAGCAGGCAAGAGCCAAGAGCCCCAACCGGGGCAGGAGAGGAGCCTAGAGGGTGAGACCAGATCTGTGCTGAGGCTTGCTGCCTTCAGGGGCCTCTCAGAAAACTTCTGAGGTTCTGGTTTCTGAAAATATGATATGGAATTGCTGAAAAAATGCCATCCACCACTCTCCAAACTCCATTCCTCCAACTCTGGGAACACTCAGGGCCTCTTTGTCCTGGCTCTGAGTCCTAGGGCCAATACACAATCAACTGGGAGGTACCTTCCGAGGGGTGCCTGGAAGTTCCCATGCTCCACTGGGGCAGAACTTGAGGTCCCAGATGCAGCCGTGGTCACAAGCAATCCCATAGACAAAGTGAGCCCTGTTGCCAGGGCTGAGGAGAGAAACCATGTGGGGAGAATGGGTAGGAAGAGGGGGCCTAGGGCTGTCAGAGCCTGTGCTCCCCTTATCTCAACCCAATCCAAGCCCTCCCCGCCAACCCCAACCCTGCCCAGCCCCATTCTTCTCTCCTCAACCACCCTCCCACAGCAGTGTCCCAGCCCCACCTCACCAGCTTTCTTGCTGCAAGGTCCCAAGGCCCCAGAGCTGAAGTAGCCCAGGACCCGAATGAAGCTGGCTCAGTGGATGTGTCTCATTCATGTCAGGGCTGGAGAAAAGGGCCACATACTGTGAGGCTGCTGCCCCCTCTGGCACTGGGCACCAATCCAGAGCCCAGAGAGGTCCCCCTGTGAAGAAGGACACATCCCAGCGTTCTGGGTGTGCTGTGATCGAGCTGAATCTAGAGAAAAGTCAAAGATGGGATGAAAACAGAGTTAATAAAAGGTAATAAAAACTTCATAGGATAAATAAACCGTGATACATCCAGATCAATGAAGTATTATTTTGCACTAAAAATAAATGACCTATCAATCCATGAAAAGACATGGAAGAACCACATTAAGTGAAAGAAGCCCATCTTAAAAAACTAGTACTGTACGATTCCAACCATATATATATAAAATATTCTGGAAAAGACAAAATTATGGAGATAAAAGATCAGTGATGGCCTGGCTGGTGCGGTTCACAGGTTGAGTGTCGACCCATGCACCAGGAAGTTGCTGGTTCGATTCCCAGTCAGGGAACATGCCCAGGTTGTGGGCCAACTCCCCAGTGGGGGGCATGCAGGAGGCGGCCAATCAATGTTCTCTCTCATCGATGTTTCTATCTCTCTCTCCCTCTCCCTTCCTCTCTCTCTCAAAACAATAAGGAAAAAAAACCAAAAACAAACAAAGATTAGTAATAGCCAGGGGTTGGGGTGAAAGGGATGAATAGGTGGAGCAGAGGATTTTAGGGCAGTGAAAATATTGTGTGATACTATAAACACATGTCAGCAGATGTTTGTCCAAACCCACAGAATGTATACACCAAGAGTGAACCCTAATGTAAAGGATAGATTTTGAGTGATTATGATATGTCAATGTAGGTTCATCTATTCTGGTGGGAAATGTTGATAGTGGGAGAGGCTATGCATGTGTGGGGGCAGGAGGTATATGAATAATCTGTCTCTTCCTCTCTATTTTCCTGTTAACCTAAAAAAGAAAATAAAAAAAAAAGATAATAAGGACAGAATGGGAGCTCCACTGGGAAGCTAGAATGAACTAGCTTAAATAAGGGCCAGGATAGCAAGAACTGTCTACAGGTGATGACAGTCCTAGCCATTATTTTTATCTTCCTCCTTTCCTTCCCAAAGTCATTCTAGTTCTAGCTCACCTTCAAGGGTGTCAGGCTGTGTATTCTGGTTACTAAAATGTTCTTTCTCGAGCCAGTTTATCTGGGTCTATCTGAGTAGATATGACCTTGTAAACAGGTTTGACCCTCAATCTCCCTAGCTTTCCTCAGTCTGGCCAGCAACAATAAGCACTGCAAATTAGAGGGGACTGATCAGATCTACCCTGGACTCCAACCCTTGGAATCAACTGGATCAGCATCAGGGGAAGAACAGGGCCAATCTGTCTGTCTTCCCTTTCAACATTCATTTTTCCTATTTTTGTCTCCTAAAATCAGAAAAAGAGATGTGACCCCTTCTGATATAATTTTCACCTGTTTATTCGATAAAGTGTGCCATCTTCAGGAAGTCCTTCACGTTGTACAGAAAACAGTGGAGACTTCTCCTCCTGGGGTAGATACGGAGCTGCCTCACTAGGGGAAGGCAAAGGAAACAACAACCTGAATCTGGAAGAGCTTCTCCCATTCCAGGATTCCCGTCATAAATCTAGAGTCCTCTGTCACTCTTCTGTTTTTAGAGCTACCACCCCCCTCCAGGGCTTCAAAGATGTTTCTTCAACTTACAGTTCAGATAACAAGTGCCATTTCCAGGCTAAAGGAATCCATTCTGCAAACTCCCAATATGAATGCTTCTGTTCTCGGCTAGAGGAACAGAAGAAGCATTAATTGAGGAGGAGTTCAATTCCCGAGCAGTGTTGTTCAATACAACTTTCTGTGTTCTGGCCCTGGCTGGTGTGGCTGTTGGCTGGGCGTTGTCCCATGCACCAAAGGGCTGGCTGCCGGTTGGATTCCCACTCAGGGCACGTGCCCAAGTTGTGGGCTCAGTCCCTGGGAGGGGGCGTGTAGGAGTCAGCTAATCAATGTTTCTCTCTCACATCTGTTTCTCTCTCTCTCCCTCTCCCTTCCTCCCTCTCTCTAAAAAAATTAAGTAAGCCCGGCCGCTGTGGCTCCGTGGATTGTGTCATCTCATGGACTGAGAAGTGGTTCAATTCTAGGTCAAGGCACATGCCCGGGTTGTGGGCTCAATCCCCAGTGGGTGGCATACGGGAGGCAGCCAACAGATGTTCCCCTTCCTCTCTCTCTAAAAAAATTTAAAAATAAAAATAAATAAATTGCCCTGGCAGGTTTGGCTCAGCAGTTAGAGCACTGGCCCGCAGACCAAAGGGTCAAGTATTTGATTCCGGTCAAGGGCACATATCTGAGTTGCAGGTTCAATCCCCGGTCCTAGTCAGGGTCATGTGGGAGGCAACTAATCGATACGTCTCTCTCATATCAATATTTCTTTCTCTATCTCTCCCTTCCAATCTATCTAAAAATCAATAGAAAAATATCCTCAGGTGAGGATTAACAACAACAGAAAAAAATCAATTATAAGTAAAACTTTCTGTGATGATGGAAGTGACCAATACATGAGCTGCTACTGGGCACTTGGAACAGGGCTAGCGCAAAGGAGAAACCGAACTTTTAATCTGAAATGACTACATGCAGCTAGTGGCTACCATATTGCACAGCTCAGCTTTAGAGCTCTTGCCTTTGCAGCAGTGCCGTTTATGAATGTCTTCAGTGTTCTGCCCTGTGAGTGCCTTCCCTCTTTCCCACAGCCCCACTTTGAGATCATCCTTTGTACTCCACCCCCACCCTTTCATCCTCAGTCCCCATTCCCCAAGTCTCACAGGTCCTTGGTGAGATGGAGGCATTTCCAAACAGGAGCCATGATGTGATTTGATAAGCCATTGGGAGCCACACCCCGGCAGTGTAGCTTCTGCTTCTAGGGATCAAATGAAAAAAGTGTAAGGGAGATAATTTTATAGGCTGGAGAAAGCCCCCGGGACACAACTTTCCTAGCTTTTACTTCTCTTGGCACCACTTCCTCTCTAACCTTTGCCCTATCAGAATCTTAAAAGATTTGTTTCGACCACTGCAATGCTTTCTTCATGTTCTGCTGCTTCTCCTCCATCAAAACTGCAAAATCCGTTACTTTTTTTAAAAATCATTTTCCTTGACATCTCCAAGCACTGGATTCAGAGGACTCCCATTTACTTCTAGAAACTCCTGCCCTATAAGGAGTAGTCTCTCCTTATTCCTCCCACACTTCTAATATTCCACGGCTGGTTCTCCCTCATCTGATAGATTTGGTCCATGATGCTATTTCCCAGAGATGTTCTGACTTCTCAACCCTCTCTATATGCACTCCTGGTAATTTCATCTAATGTCCCATCATTATACCTGACTATCAAGTTTGACTACTATCATTATCTGTTTACCCAGTTTACATTTTAGTAAACTCAAACATAACTTTTCCTACAAACTCCATACTCATACAGTGCTGCCAAGCAATATTAGAGCCTGAGGCAAAAGGAAAATCAGTAACACAGTTTCTGTCTTCATTTAAAATTTGGTATTTGGGTCATTATAGATTTGTTAAATTAACTTTTATTTTGTAAAATATTATATCAAAATATCACCCTGGCCGGTTTGGCTCAGCGGTTAGAGCGCCGGCCTGCGGTCCAGAGAGACCCAAGTTAGGTTCCCGCTAGGGGCACGTGCCTCGATTGCAGTTTGTCCCCCGGCCTTGGTTGGGTCGTGCAGGAGGCGGCCACTCGATGTGTCCCTTTCACATTGATGTCTCTCTCTCTCTCTTTCCCTCCCACTCTAGCTGAACAAAAAATGGAGGAATGTCCTCAGGTGAGGATAAAAAATATATATATATATATATTTATCTTGACTTCTGAGGGATTTGATGCTCCCTTAAATGTTGCACTTAAGACAAGTTAGGCACTCGAATTCCATATACTATATAACCAGTGACCACATGTCCCCAGAAGGATAGCACAACTCACAGGCACCTCCAACTCAACAAGTCAGAAAGCTCATTACCTGCCCCGCCTTTCTTTGCCCCTCCTGTGTTCCCTACTTTTCCTGTGTTCCTAAGTTTGGTGCACTGAGAGCACCATCTAAGCTGGAAATTCCTTCCTTTCCTTCAACTCGAGTGCTGTTAATTCTCATATTCCTCTTGAATCCGCCCCTGCCCCCTGACCCAGCACCTTCTCTTCCTTTACTGCTTAATTCAGGTCCTCACTATCTCTCACCTAGATCACTGAAGCTGTCTTTTAATTTTCAACTGCAAATTGACCTATTTTCCTAACTGAACACGTTATTTTTCTACTTAAAAACCTTTGTTGTATAGAGTTTCTACTTGGAATGATGAAAATGTCTTTGAAATGAATAGCGATGATAGTTGCACAACACTGCGAATGCACTAAATGCAGTGAACTGTACATTTTTAAATTTTCAGTTATGTATATTTTACCACAATTAAACAAACACCTTTGTTGGCTCCTACCAATCTTAGTTATTTCATCCTCTCTCGTTAAATCTCCCACCACTTTGCATCAGGTTTTATGCTGCAGCCATAATCGATTTCTGGGAAAACCAATCTCTCTGGCAAACTTCCATTTACCTTTCAAGACCTAGCTGAACTATCATTCCTCTGTGCAGCCTGAGCAGTTAAACATCCCTCCCCTTTATGCCTAGAGCATCTTGTTCACTCCTGGTCTAGCACTACCACACTGAACTTTGTGAAGCACTATCACACTGAAGTTACTCACATTTGTGTTTCCTAGCACAGAGTAGATGCTCAATACATGAATGAATAATCATGTTTACTTACACCCTCAGTCCCTGCAATCTCAACTATATTTAAAATTGTCCTTTTTTTCTTTTACCTCTTTTGGCCATCATAGTTACTAGGCCAAAGCTTTCCTTCTGGGCACCCTCTTGATCCCCTAAAAATCCTATTATTTCCTCCATTCACTTTCTTGTCCCCATTCAGGTTACCCCTGAAGTGGATCCTCGTGGGGTGCTTCGGGGCACAGCAGGCTCAGGATCAGATGAGCTCTCACTGGGGGCCTCACTTTCTTCTCCATCTTCAGCCTCAACCTTGAGAACAAAGTCTTCGTCTTGTGCGGTGTCATCCTCCCCCTCTCCTCCACCTTGACAGGTTGATGGTTGCCGGGTTTTCTTTGGTTTGGTGGGACTGCTCACCTTGGGGCTCTCAGGACAGGACACTGGAGCTGGCAGAGCTGTTGAGAGCTCTTCAGCCAGTTCCTGAAGATACAGAAGTGCCCTGTGGGATAGGGCAGAGTCAGAGACCTACTCACAAACACTTAACTAACAGCTCACTTTTCCAGACATTTGGCTGATTCTTATTTCACTGGATCCTCCCAGTGACCCTGTGAAACAGCTATTAATTTCCATTCCCCTTTGATAGATGAGGAAACAAATCCAGGAAAGTTAAATGGCTTGGCCAAAATGATTCAGATAACATACATGGGATCTAAACCAGATCTTCTGACTTGAAGTTCCAAGCACTTTTCACTCTACCACAGTCAAAAATCACTGATGGCAATAGAAAACAATGGAAAGGTATGTATATACTGATATATATTGGGTGGTAAAATTGCAATGAAGACCTAGGAGCAATTGTGAAAAATGTGATAGAATACAAAGTACATGAAGAAACCTCCTATACAAAGTTAGCAACAGATTAAAGTTGCTGTGGTAAAGCCAGAAGATTGCTCGAGTCCCCAGAACCCAGAACTACTCCCACTTCCCTGACGCCACATCACAGCCTTCTCATCTCTCCAACATCTGACCCACCCTGATTCCCTCACCCCAACCCACCTCTACCATGATATGCCCCAATCCTTACACTTGGGCAGCCCTTCGGCGAGGCCGTTGCCCCGGTGGGGTCTCAAAGTCCTCAGGGGGTCTCTTTGGAGGTGGAGACTCTGGCTGATCTAGGCCTTTTGACAACTTCAGCAGTAGCAGCTCTGCCTTGGGCTTTCGGCCTCGTTTCTTAGGCATAGGGGTGGAGAGAGGGTTGGACTGATCTAAGTGACCAGGAACCAAAGGGGCTGATGGAGGATTAGGCTGTTGGGGCCTTTTTGGGCCTTTCCGTGTCCTACCACCTTTCTTCCGGCCAGGCTTTGAGGCCCTAGGCTTTGAGACCTTTGACATCTCTGAAGAAAGATCTGTAGGGAAGAATACGGGTCTATGAGATGGGACCAGAGCACAAACCTCTTTAGAACAAACTACATCATACCCAGGTTTGTAAGACCTTTGAGCTCAATCTGTTCTATTTCATCTTAAGCTAAGCACAGGGAGAGAAAAATGAAAAGACAAGGTACATACCTTGCTGTTCCAGTCTAGAAAGGCTTTCCTGTTCCGGAAGGAGGTTTTTCTCATCAAGAGAATCCTCAAATCCAGACAAAGGGGTAGGCAAAGACATTTGTATGGAAGCCTCTGTACTGGCTGTTTCTGAAGTGGTCTTGACATCAAGTTGGTGTAGCACCTCTTGTCCAGGAGAGTCTGGTACAGTCATGTTCCCCACGGGGCCGGCCTCCCCCAGGGCGACATAGCCGACCCCGTAGGTATCCATTAGCACACGCTAAAATGGCTGCCCCTGCATAGAAAGGTATACAAATGAGAAAAAGGCAAAAGCTATTTGTACTGGCTCAGATACTTCTACTTTCCACCCCTTACTGTCCATCCCGCAACCAGAAATGTAAGCTCCGTGATCACTGATTCATTCAACAACAATTACTAAACATCTTCTATATGTCAAACACTGTTCTAGGAAATGGTAATATGACAATAATCAAGACAGACAGGATCCCTGCCCTCATGAAACACACATGCTAGTGGAGCTGATAATAAACAAATGAATAATAATAAAGCTACTATTTATTAAACACTTGCTATGTGCCAAGCACCGTACTAAGTGCTTTATTTACGTTATTTAATTTAAAGCTAATAACTTTTCTTGTAATGACATTGCAGTGAATGCCTAGAACTAAAATCCACCTTTGGGAATTTAGTCAAGAAACACATTTATTTAAAAATAAGTAAAACAGCCCTGGCTGGTTTGGCTCAGTGGTTAGAGTATCGGCCCTCAGACCAAAGAGTCTCAGGTTTGATTCTGGTCAAGGGCACATACCCAGTTTGTGGTTCGTCCCTGACCCTGATCGGGTTGTATCGGAGGCAACCAGTCAATGTAGCCCTCTCACATCAATGTTGCTCTCTCTCTCCCTCCCTCCCACTCTATCTGAAAATAAAATAGAAAAATATTCTTGGGTGAGGATTAAAAAAAATAATAATAAGTGGAACAATAAATCAGTATTTCTCTCTCTCCCTCCCTCCCTCTCTAAAAATCAATGGGGAAATATCCTCAGGTGAGGATTAACCAAAATAGAAAAGAAAAGCACTCTTTCAAATAAAGGCTCCAGAAAACAGAAAAAAAATTCTAACAAAAGCTTCTATGTTTTCAAAAAACCCAGAGACTGTGAAATTCAAGAAACAAGAGATCAATGTAGAGGTAAACAATGGCAAGGTAAAAAGTAAAAGAAACTGAGTAAAAGAATAAAATTTTATAAATGAAAACCAGAGAAGCAAAATATTGAAACTATACTGCTGAAAAGAAAAAGTGTTATATGAAGGATAGGTTTGAGAAAAACCACATAGGCTGCAAAAAGATAAATATGATTAGTAAGAAGATGATATAGATGGAAAAGAGAAAGTGGGAAGCCAACATGGAAATGAATAATTGATATTCCTAAAGAGAGAAGAAAAACGGGAACAAAAAAAGCCTACAAAAATTTAACAGAAGAAGAAGAAAAAAAAAAACTTTCCTGAAATAAAGGAAGACCTCAGTCTACAGATCCAAAGGGCTTACAGTGTAAAAAGGAAACAAAAATCAATCAAGAATCAAGATCAAGAAATATCTTGGGCCTGGCTGGTTTGGCTCAGTGGTTGGAGCATAGGCCCGCAGACTGATGAGTCGAGGGTTCGATTCCAATTGAGGGCACATGCCTCAGTTGTGGTTCGTCCCTAGCCCTGGTCGGGGAGGCGAGGGAGGCAACCAGTCAATGTATCCCTCTCACATGGATGTTTCTCTTTCTCTCCCTCTCTCCCCCTCCCTATCGCTCTATCTGAAGATAAGTAGAAAAAAAAAATATCCTTGGGTGAGGATTTAAAAAAAGAAATATCTTAGTAAAAATACTAAATTTCTCCTACAAAGGGGGTGGGGGGTGGGGATCGGGTCAGCCTCAGAGTTCTCAGAAACAACTTATTCTCTAAGAGGATCAAGAGAATTCTTTACTTAACTAGGATGTCATTCATGTAAAAGTAACAGGATGACATTCTCAATATGCAAGTTCGTACAAATTTTTTTTTTTTTTTGGTACGTGCCCCTAGCCACTAGGGCTTAGCAGAAACCAAACCCCAGGACTCTATGATCCACAGGCCAATGCTCCAACCACTGAGCAAAACCGACCAGGGCAAGTTCGTAGGAATTTAAAATTGATGCAAACTTAATTTTTTAAAAATCCACTTGAAGATCTACTTTAGCCAATAAAAGATAAATCAATATAAAGAACTTTCTAATGGAGATGTTGTACTATTAAGACTGACAGTAAGGCCCTGGCCAGTTTGGCTCAGTGGTTAGAGCGTCGGCCTGCGGTACAGAGAGACCCGGGTTCGGTTCCCGCTAAGGGCACGTACCTCGGTTGCAGTTTGTCCCCGGCCCTGGTTGGTCGTGCGGGTGGCAGCCACTCGATGTGTCCCTTCACATCGATGTTTCTCTCTCTCTCTTCCTCTCTCTCCCTCCCGCTTTGTCTGAACAAAAAAATGCAAAAATGTCCTCGGGTGAGGATAAAAAAAAAAAAAAAAAAGACTGACGGTAAGCATTTAACACAGTGGCACAGCAATTGAGTTTAAACAACCATAGTAACTACAGCTATAAAATAAACTCTAACTTAAAATTTTTAAATGTCCCACAATGTGAAAATATCAGTACTGTGATTATAGTGGACTAAAACAAAAGAAGCATCCTAAGTTTGTTTCTAAGTTTGGTAAATTAAAAACATACATTTAGAAGTTTAATAGAACTAAAAACAGTATACCATATTGTTCCCAAAATACCCTGTAGGCCATAAAAACCAGAAGGTATTTTTTTTAAAAAGACCACATAATAAAAGATTAAAAATAAGGGACTCAAAAAGCTGAAAGTAAAATGATGAATTAATATATACAGATTCAGGGCAAATGTAAGCAAAAAGACAAAAGGAGTTTTCATGGTAATAGCAAAGTTGAATTCAGGGAGTACTTTATAACAAATAAAATTTCAAATCATATAAAAGGTATAAATATCATTAACTTTTAGACATCAAATACCATAGCATCAAAATACATAAAGTAAAATCTTCAGGAAATACAAGAACTATTTCCTTTCATCATTGGCAGTTCAAGTAGGTAAGGACAAAGAAAATGTGAATAAAATGATTAATTGTTCTCTCTATTGGCCAATGTTCAGTTGCATAGAACAGAATCCTCTCTAGTCAGTTCGAGCTAAAAGGAATTTATTAAAGGGTATTAAATGGTTCACATCAGTGGTTCTCAAAGTGTGGTCCCAGAAATGGCAGCCTCACTATCACTTGAAAATTTGTTAAAATGCAAATTTCCAATCCTACCCTAGACCTACTGAATCAGAAAATCTGGGATGGGGCCAGCACTTGTTATAACAAGCCTTTCAGTAGATTCTCATGCACACTCAAGTTTGAGAATCCCCTGCATAGAAGATTAATGGGAGGGTTGGGAGGAAAACCGGTGTAGGAGCAAGTGCTTGTCAAATTGGGAAGTTGTTTTATAGCTGCTGATTCAAGAACCACATGGCCTCTCCTATGCCATGATGGGGACCCAATTGCTGAATCCATAAGCCCCTGCCACAGCTGATGGCTCCATAAACAAGTTGCCTCTGCAATCAGAATGTGACTGAGTAAATGAGGAAGACCCTTTTCTGGCTCCCAAACCCAGAACCATTCCACTGCCACAATCTGCACCAGTGAAATGCATACCTGCTGGCCTGCCTCTCTCCTCTCTAATCTCTAATCTCAGGTCCAAATTTGAGTTCTTCAAGAGTACATCTGATCAGCAAGACCTAAATCATCTTCAGAATCTTGGGTGGTAAATTTCCAGGAAATGAAACTTCTAGCTTTCTAGGTTCTCAAGTAGAAGTTGCTCATTCTCTCTCACCTCCCTTACCCCAGGGTAGAAAGTGGAATCAGTCTTCTCAGCTACTCTCCAGTACCACTTCTTGACAAATAGTCCTACCCCTCTTGTAAAAACCTTGTTCCTCTGAAGCTTGTAACATTCAACTAAAGTATTGCTAATCACTCTGCTGTCACACCCTGGACCCTGTCATTATATAAAACCTTTTAACCTTCAAAAATCACTAAGACATCCACTATCTGATCACAACCTCCCATCATTACAGCTAGATTGCTCAACTACTAACACTGTTATCTATTCTTCAACCATATCTAGCCACTATTCACTGATCTAATTTCTCCCTATGGCCGCCACCTGAAATCTAGCTTATATTTCTTTATTTTAATCAGACTCTTATTGACATTATGAACTTGTTTTCTTTCTGTCTTTTGTTCCACAGGTCTAGCAAAAATCGAGCCTTAGATGAACCAATTATCGATTTTCTCCACTGTGTGCATTTAAGCTGCTCAAGTACTAGCAATCACACTTTCTCTCTTAGTCACTTCCACACACTCTCTCTTCCAATGTCTGATCCACTGGTTCTCAGCAGATAACTTTGCCTCTGGTTTCTGAAACAAAACCCAAAGTCATTAGATGGGAAAGACTTCTATTTTCTGTCAAGTAGCCTAACCCTCCCTGCATCTAAACTCCTTCCTCATCCACTTTCTAAGTCCACACCTTCCACTAGGGGGTCAAACCTGCAACTCAGGCACGTGCCCTTGATGGGTTGAATCTGCGATCCTTTGGTCCTTGGGCCAATGCTCTAACTGCTGAGCCAAACTGGCCAGGGTGAAACATTCTGTTTAAAAAATATAGTTTTTCATTGACTTTTATTTTAGAGAAAGGGAGAGGCAGAAAGAGAAACACCTATGTGACAGCAGAACATCAATGGGCTGCCTCCTGCACACCCCCTCCTGGGGATTGAGCTTGAAACCTTTTGATGAACAGTATGATGCTTACCAACTAAGCCACACAAGCCAGGGTTTGAAAACTTCCAGATTTTTAAAAAATGTTCCTCAGTTTTTTACAATTGTCTCACTCACATAACATTGAGTGTCATCCCATGTACCAGGTCTTCCCTGCCCAGGTTTCAGGCTCAATCCCCAGTGAGGGGCATGCAGGAGGCAGCCAATAGATGTTTCTCTCTCATCGATGTTTCCTTTGTCTTTTCTTTTTTTATAAATGTTTTTTATTTTTTTGTAGTGATTTTAGAGGGAGTGAGAGAGAGAAACATCAGTTGGCCACCTCCTACAGGCCCCTCACTGGAGATTGGGCCCACAAACTGGAGATTGGGCCCACAACCTGGGCATGTGCCCTGACCAGGAACCAAACTGGCAACCTCTTGGTGTATGGGTTGATGCTCAACCACTGAGCCACACCAGCCAGGCTCATCGATGTTTCTATCTCTCCCTCCCTCTCTCTGAAATCAATAAAAACATATTTAAAAAAAATTTTTTTTCCTGTATCAGTACGCATATTTACGTCATTCTTCTTGGTTACTGTATGGTGTTCTATAGAATTATAGTTTATTTAGATATTTCCCATTTAAGGAAAATTGGATTATAATACTATTACAATCAATACTGCAATGCATATTCTAGTACAGATCTCTTCATTAATGAGAAAGTATTTTTCTAAAACAAGCCATCTGAAGTGGGATTCTGTATTGGGTTGCATATTTTAAAATTTAACAGATACTGCCAAACAATTCACCAAAACAAAAACCAACTTACATTCCCACTAACTATACAGTCATTTTACCATACCCTTGCCAATCTTTAATTTTTGCCAATCTGATGGGTGGAAGAATTCCTCCTGATTTTATTTTCATTGACCTGATAATAATTGAAGTTAATTTATTTTTATATGTTGGATATCTATATGTCTTTTATGAACTGCCTGTATATACAATTTGCCCATATTTCTATAGGGCAAATTGAGCTTTTCCTTATTAATCATTATTTATGTTGCAAATATTTCCTTTGTGTCTTTTAACTTTGTTTATAATGTTCTTCCTAAACTGAAGTTAAATTTTATGAGTTAAATTTCTCAATCTTCTCCTTATGGCTTCTGTTTACTTTGTTCCTTTATTTTTATTATCGATTTTAGAAAGAGAGGAAGGGAGAAGAGAGAAACATCGATGTGAGAGAACATGGACTGGCCGCCTTCTGCATGCCCCACACTGGGAATCAGGCCCACAACCTGCACATGTGCCCTGATCAAGAATTGAATCGGTGACCTTTTGGTGCATGGGTCAACGCTCAATCACTGAGACACACGGGCCGAACTGCTTTGTGTCTTAAAAAGGCATTTTTCTACCCCACTGACATAAACATATCCTATTTTATTTTCTCCTAATACTTTTTTTCTAAATTTGAATCTTACATGTAGCTCTTTAGTCCGTCTCGAATTTTCTTTTTTTTCCCCTCCAATTTTTATTATTTTTCTTACAGATGTTTCTCCCTCCCCATCCCCTTAAGTATTGCTGTCTATGTCCATTGGTTATGCATACATGCATGTAAGTTCTCTGGTTCATCTCATCCATTCCCCTCGCCCACCTACTCCGCCATCTGGAATTTTCTTATGATAAGAGGTATGGGTATTGCCCTGGCCAGTGTGGCTCAGTTGGTTGGGCATCGTCCCGTGCACCAAAAGTTGCCAGTTGCAATTACCGGTCAGGGCACATGCCCGCATTATGGGTTAAACACCCAGTAGTGGGTGTGCAGGAGGCAGCCAATCAAGGTTTTGCTCTCACATCAATATTTCTCTCTCTCTCTCTAAAAAAATATCTATTAAAATATTTTTTTTAGCCCGGCCGGTATGGCTCAGCAGTTGAGTGTCGACCCATGCACTAAAAGGTCGCCGGTTTAATTCCCGGTCAGGGCACATGCCCAGGTTGTGGGCCTGATCCCCAGGGGGCATGTAGGAGGCAGCCAATCAATGTTCTCTCTCATTGATGTTTCTATTTCTCTCTTTCTGTCCCTCTCTAAAATCAATAAAGAAAAAATACTAAAAATATATATATTTTAAAAAAGACATAGGTATTTACTTACTTCATATCTATCATCCCTAAAAGTTTCATAAGATAGGAATCTTGCCTATCTGATTCACAAATGCATCCACGTGATAAATGTAATAATCTTCATTGATTGTATAGCTAACTTCTCAAGGTACAAAAATCCCTTTTAAAGATTCATTCCTTATAGAAGGTAGCAACAGAGCATGGTGGTTAATTTCCATTCATGATTTCACAAGTAAATTTGGACACTAGTAAAGGAAGAGCTGTTTAGTAAATACGTACTAGAATTTATAAAATTTTACATTTGCACCCCAACTTGTCTGGTTCCCAAGATACTCCAGGCTGCCTGTCTGACCTCCTCAATCAAAGAAAATAATTAGATAATACTGTTGCTCAAATATAGAATTACTTTAAACTCACTGTTTGGTCTAACATACTATTTCCCAAAGTGCTCCTATGCTACAACTGGTGGTATGCAAAACAATTTTAGTGGTATAAAAATGAACAATGGCCTGGCCAGTGTGGCTCAGTGGTTGAGCGTCGACCCATGCACCAAGAGGTCACCGGTTCAGTTCCTGGTCAGGGCACATGCCCAGGTTGTGGGCCAGATCTCCAGTGGGGAACATGCAGGAGGCAGCCAATCAATGTTCTCTCTCATCGATGTTTCTATCTCTCTCCCTCTCAACTACTCTCTCTCGAAAAAAAAAATCAATAAAGAAAAAAAATTGTTTAATAAAATATAAATGAACAATGTTATTTGACCAATTGTATTTTTATTTTAACTTGTAGAAAATACTTTAACAAGTCCATGAAACATCATGGGTTCATCCATATTGCTTAAGTCGAGACTAAAACACTTACACTTTAAAAATAAATCCATTTAAAGAAAACTATTAAGAAAATAATATTGTTGATTTAAAAAAAAAGTGATAATGGCACAAGAATGACTTAAGTCTGTGTAACCATATGCCGCTGGGTCCAAGAGGCTTGGCCATACCCTACACTACTCTAACCAAGTGCTGGCTGGGGTTGAAGTCGTCATCTCTGCCTTCCCCAGCCAACTTGCCACGAGAGAAAAGGGCTAGACAGGGAAACGTAACTGGCCCTTGACTGCACCAATGAGGTTGCAGCGCGCGGGGCACAACCCCCAGGGTTAGAAGAGCCTCAGCGAGGAAAAGGCTGAGACACAGCAAAATGAGATTGGCCCACAACTACTATAGGGAGGACCACCTGCCCTCCCTCAGTCCTGGGCGTGAGCGCAGCTTTTACCACTAGCCCGTGCCTGAGGCCAGACCTGAGTTTTCTAAGGTTGAGGACTACTGTAGGTTCTCACAGTCGAGGGAGGTAATGTAAGTAGTGCCGAGGCCGGGACACAGGATGCTGTGTTACGGACACCGCGTGGGGTAAGACGGCAAGACAGTGGTTAGCAGAGATGGGGGATGCACTCTAGCCAATGTGGGGAAGAAAGTAGGAAGCATAATGGTTTCTATGGCGGCTGAAGGTTGCGATGCTGTGCAGAGTGGGACTAGCGGAGCCAATATTTTGGCGCTACTGAAAAAGGAGGAGGAGTAATCGTGGGGCCCCCCGCACACCCCACGGCTGTACACTCACCCTCACCAAAGTCCTTCCGGAAGTCCAAGTTCGAAGATGGCGCCGCCCGTCTGGTCGCGGTTTTATGACGCAATCCGGTAGCTACTCTTCATTGATGCCCCACCCCGACCGCCGACGCCAGTTCACAAGGGAAACACGAAACACGTGAGTTTGGTCGGGAGTTTGTGCCCGAAGAGTTTTCTGGTACACTATGTATTCCACAATGCAATGCGGCAAGCGTTCCCGAGCCTTTTCTGAGCACGCGAAGCTCCTGGGCTTTAGCTGGGCAGAGGACGCTGCATGGCCTTATGGGAATTGCAGTGTCAAGAAGGTAAGATTGACGCTTGCGCGGTGATGGTCGCCGCGCCCCCTTGGGTTCCCACGCAGCCTCTACGCGATACTCGAGTGTGCTGTTTTTTTTTTTCCCGAGCGCCGAGTCCAGGATTTTTTTATTCGACTACCGAGCCTGTGGCAGGCAGGGCTAGGCCGGATGTGAGTCCTTTACCTGCAAGCCTGGCGCCGTTTGAGCCGAACATGGAGACTGGGAGACAAAGGAATCCTGCCTCCTCCGCGGGGCTTCCCTTCCAACCCCCACCCTCCCGTAGATCCAACCACTAGTGAAGTCAAGGATGAATACGAGACAGAAACGCAGTGAAAGGGGACTTGGGAAAAGGACAGGAAAAGGGAAGGAGCAGGAGTAGAAAAACCTGACGTGGGCATCGTACACACGAGTGAGACTCTAGGAGGTGGTATGCGGGTGAAGAAAGATGTAACAAATTCTGCCCATTCTTGAAGCACTTAGAGCCTTATAAACTTCACGCGTCTCACAAGCCAAATGGGAGAGTTCAGAATGTATAAATATGTGGAAGGGATGTGGTAAAACCTTTCCCTTCCTAAGTAATCTCACCTATTAACCCCCCTCGCTTACACAAAATATTTAAGGAAAGCATGGGAAGAGCTAGTTCAGATTTTTTTTTATCCTCACCGGAGGACATTTTCCCATTTTTTGTTCAGATAGAGTGGGCGGGAGAGGGAGAGAGAGAAACATAGACATGAAGGGTTCAGATGGAGTGGCTGCCACCCGGACAACCCAACCAGGGCTGGGGACAAACTGCAACTGAGATATGTGCCCTTAGCAGGAGCTGAACCCGGGTCTCTCCGGACTGCAGGCTGACACTTGAACCGCTGAGCCAAACCGGCCAGGGCTAGCTAGGATTTTTATAAAGTTGAATAAAGGGTCTCCCTGGCACCCCTTTAGTGCCCCAAAGACAAGCTAAAGCTGTTATGTGGCTTAGGACCAACTCCTTTGTGACAGTGCGAAGTTGGTGCAGTTGAGGCTTGGTTCCCCAATACATCCCATCTTAAATGCTTCTGTAATGAACAGATCTGTCTCCTTTCCATGCCTGTTGACTCAGATTGGGCTATCTTTGACTTGAACAATTGTAAAATCTTTTTATATTAATAATTGTATCTGTTTTAGTAATAAGACATTCAGCCCTGGCCAGTTTGGCTCAGCAGTTGGAGTGTTGGCCCACGGACCAGAGTCTCAGGTTTGTTTCTGGTCAAGGGCATGTACCTTGGTTGTGGTTTGGTCTGGTCCTGGTTGGGGTCGTGTGGGAGACAACCAGTCAATGTGTCTCTCTCACATCCATGTTTCTCTCCCCCTCCTTCCCTCCCACTCTATCTGAAGATAAATGGAAAAATGTATCCTCGGGTGAGGATTTAAAAAAAAAAGACATTCACATAGCTCAAAATTGAAAATGCAAAGGGTACAAACTGAAGAGTTCCACCTCTTGTCTCCAGCCTCCCAGACCACATCCACACAGGCAGTTTCTTGGTACAGGTCCAAGATATTTTACGTATGTATGCACATATGCAAATACATGTATCTTTCCCCCATTCCATTCAAACAGCAACTACACACACTTTGCTTCTTTTAACTAAGTATACCTTGGAGATTGTTCCATTTCTGTACATAAAATAACTTTATTCTTTGTTAGTATTTAATTATATGAATGTAGTGTAGTTTAATTAGTCCCTTATTAATATTAGTGGTATTTAAGTGGTATCCAGCCTTTTGCAATTATAAACAATGCTGCTATAAATAACCTTGTATCTAAGTTACTTCAAATGTGTGAGTATATGGATAGCATAAATTCCTAGAAGTAGAATTACTGAACCAGAATTTAGGTACACTTGTAATTTTTTTTTTTTTTTTTAACCTCACCCGAGGACATTTTTGCATTATCTTCAGATAGAGCAGGTGGGAGAGAGGGGGGAAGAGAGAGAGAGAAACATCAACGTGAGAGAGACACATCCACTGGCGGCCACCCACAAGACCCCAACTGGGGCTGGGGACAAACTGCAACTGAGGTACGAGGTACGTGCCCTTAGCAGTAACTGAACCCGGGACTGGTCCTCAGGTTGATGCTCTAACTACTGAGCAAAACTTGCCAGGGCAATAGGCAATCCTTTTTTTTTTTTTAAATTTTTTTGAGACAGGAAGGGAGATAGAAACATCCATGGGCTGCCTCCTGCACACCCCCTACTGGGGATTGAGCCCACAACTCAGGCATGTGCCCTGACAGGGAATTGAACTGGGACCTCTCAGTCTATGGGATGACGCTCAGTCCACTGAGCCACACCAGCCAGGCATGATAGGCAATCTTTTAACTGATCTGTTTTCTGCTTCTAATCTTTCTAACCAGTTATCTTTCTAAAGCACCTAGCTGACCCTTGTGAACTTCTGATTAATTCTGATGATTGAGTGGTATGCTCAATATTTTTCTTACTGAGTTCATAATGATCTTTATAAAAAGATAAAAAGCCAAAAACTCAATTAGTCATTGTATACCACTAGAAGTAACTAGTGATCAATTCCTGAAAACTGCAAATAAGAGGTAAGAAGCATTCATACTGCCTTTCCAGTATGAACTGTAATTCAGAACAAAAGCTAATAAGAAAAAGAAAACTGATGACAGAGTTCTTTACAGAAGATTATCAGCTAGTAATGTGGAAAGAATGATAGAATTAGGGGGGAAGAAAAATCACCATTTTGCTTCTCCTGATAACAGAATTTGAGCAACAATCATCAATGGATGGCAAATTTCAAAATGCCTGAACCCAGTCATCACTGAAAATGGAACAAGCAACCATTTATTTGCCTCCTGATGTAAGGCAATATGAAAGTCAACCTGGTTTCTCAAACATGTCAGTGTCAACAGAAAACGAGCATGGGGAAGACTGCTTCTGATTACAAGAAATTTAAGACAATAACCAAATATAATGTGTGGGTTTGTTTGGATTGTGATTCAAACGAATGAACTATAAAAAGCCATTTTGAGACAATCAAGGAAATCTGATTATGGACTGGACAACAAAGGAAAGAATTTAATAAGTGTAATAATATAGTAAATTTCCATATTTTTTAGAGATGCTGCAGTTTGTAGGAGTGAAATGATAATGTCTGGGATTTGCTCTAAGTAGCTTAAGTAAGGGAAGGAAAAAAAGCAAATGTGACATATATGGATAATTATCACTTCTGGTGGTAGGGATTCTTTGTATAGTTCACTCTACTTCCATGCTGCTTGAAATTTTTGTTTTGTTTTTTTGTATTTTTGGTACATGCTCCTAGTGGGAACCGAACCCAGGACTCTCTGATGCACAGGCCGATGCTCCAACCACTGAGCCAAACGGCCAGGGCTTGAAAGTTTTCAATAAAACACATACATATACAAAATGGATAACTTGTTTTTTTTTTAAGCTAATCACAGTGGTCCGACCCTCACAATCTGGCCCCCACCCAACCTTACCTTTGCAGCTTTATTACCCACTCTCCATATAAGCCTTACCACACTACTGAACTTTTTGGAATTAGCCTCATATTTTAGAATTAGCAACAAATTTTAAGGTCTAGTCTGTCTAAGCTATTTCCTCTTTCCCATTCTTTTCCATCTGAGAAACTTATCCTGCAAGGACTAGGTCAGATGTTACCTGTGAAGTCTTCTCCAACCTTACTAGATCTCTGGCCCATCCTTGGTTCCTCCCAAGAAACTCTTCATATTACTGGTAGAGTTTATCTCATATTGTAGATACTATCTGTCTTCCTCTACCATGATGAATGTTCCTTAATGGCAAATAGCATAAAAGTTAAAGGTACAGTCTCTGGATTCAGAATGCCTGAGATCACATACTGGTTTAGTTACTGTGTTATCTTGGGCAAGTAACTTAACCTCTCCTTATAGCCGTGTTGACTTGGCAAATAACCTCTCTGTGCCTCAGTTTTCGCATCTCTAAAATCTCACTTCGCAGAGTTAGATTAAGCTTCATAAATTGATAAGAAAGGAATTAGAACCATTTCTGACACATAATAAGTACTCAATTCTAAGGATACCAAATGCTTATTAATATATAATTATTTGATATAAATATTAAACTATTCACTTAATATAAATAATACAATATTAACAGATAATAGTTAAGACTAGGATTCTTATTTGTCCTTATATTCCTCCTCATATCTAGCTCAGTGTCTGGCACTTAGATACTCAATAAAAGGATGAAGACTTGGGATAGTTTTTGGTCTCCATGTTGACCTTCACTTGGGTCCTAAAGCACTGGCATGGAGCTAGTCACCTGAGAGGGTCTCCATAAAGGTCTGGGATTGGTAGCAGGTACTAAAAGGAATTAGGGAATCTGAACTCCTACTCTAAGCGGTGGCGATGCTAAAAGAGACCAAAGCAACAGTTGCTGAGTGTAGGAAGTATGTCTTTTATTGACCTTGTGCTCCCCCACTCACTGGTCACTACTCTTGACTCGTAGGACAACAGGTACAGAACTGCAGGGGATCATCCCCAGCTCTGTGATCACCAGATCCACAAGCTCTGGGGGAGTCACATCATAGACCAGATTCAACAACCGTAGGGACAGGTGGTTCTGCCAGTTAGCCAAGGCCACATGTTCTCCTCGCTCACACAGCAGATCATCAGGGTCATCTGCAATGGGAGGTGTACCCATTATGTCTTTTTAGAAAACAAGTTGTAGTTTAACACCTCCCCCTCCCAAATATCAGTCCCTGGAACCTTCTCTTATGCCCTCCTGGGCCTCCTTACCTAGCTCATTAGAGACAAAGGCATCAGTCTGCACACGTTCACAGAACTTGTACGTTTCACAGCAGACCAGTACTGGCACATTATGGGCTCGTGCCACCAGGGCCAGCTGTGCTGTCCCTACCCGTGACATCACGGATCCATTGGCCAGGAGTGCATGAGCTCCTAATAGC